AAAAAAAAAAAAAAAAAAAAAAAAAAAAAAAAAAAAAAAAAAAAAAAAAAAAAAAACCTAATCGTTACCCAAAGCGCAGCCTCATTAGGCAAAAAGTGCGTGTATATATTTGACGTACGTATAAAAGCACCGAAAAAAAGTATCATCGCAATGCTCCCGTCAACATTAACGTCCTAATGGCGGTAAATGATGTTTATGCGTAAATTGTCCTTCAAAAGTTGTACAGCAAAGCGATGTACAAAGGAATAAAAAAATTTGTTGTAAAGTAATACTGTGCAGTGGAAGAAAACACCGGCTCTCCGATAACGAGACAGAGGTTGGACGGCCTTACTCGCGCTTGTCCCTCCCGAGTACTTGGTCGCCCGGGGACGAAAAATTCGCCACCGGTCGAAACGATTTTCACAGTTTCGCGTCACTCGCGATTCGCGCGAGAATAAAAAGAATACCCCCTTCAAAGGGCCGTGTCGTAGCTGTTGGTGTTGTAGGCCCTCTCGGCCACTTCCTGCAGAGCCTCCGCCATCGCTGGACCGGTCTCGTTGACCATACTTCGCAGGTAGCCCGACTCTTTCTGCAGAAGCACGTGGGGATGGTCAAACTCCTGGAAGCCGCCAAAAAAAAAAAAAAAAAAATGGGATTTTTCAATCAAAAGCTCGTTGACATAGTACGTGGAATATTGTGCAAAACCAACCACAGCCGTGCCGGCGTCCATGACGAGGATGCGATCGCTGTCCATGACGGTGTTGAGCCTGTGGGCTATCGTGAGCACCGTGCACTCGGCGAACTTGGTCCTGATGGTCTTTTGTATGAGCTCGTCGGTCTTGGGGTCGACGTTGGCCGTAGCCTCGTCTAGCACGAGTATGGGGTTGTTCTTGACGATCGCCCGGGCCAGGCAGACTAACTGTCTCTGGCCGACGCTCATGTTGCTGCCACCCTCGTTGATGTGTGCCTGCAGGCCCATCTCCTTGAGCTCGACCTCCTCGAGGGCCTGCCACAGAACTGCGTCGTCGTATGTGTCGAAGGGATCGAGGTTCTTGCGCAGGGTGCCCGAGAACAGGAACGGCTCCTGGGGAATTATGCTGATCTGCTGGCGAAGGTCGTGGAGGCCGATCTCTCCCGTCTCCACCCCGTCGATCTCGATCTGGCCCTGCACGTCGGCCAGCCTGTAAGCACCAATCGACACACGTCACTCCACGGAACCGACAAACTCTCGTCTCCGACAACTCACCTGAAGAGCGACTGGATGAGGGAGGATTTACCGGCGCCGGTTCGGCCCACGATACCGATCTTCTCCTTTGGCTGGATCGTGAAGTTGAGGTTCTTGAGCACGGGAGGCTCGGTTGGGGAGTAGCGCAGGAATACGGACTTGAACTCGATTTTGCCCTCGGAGGGCCAGTCGTCGCTCGGCTTTTTGTCCGGAAGGCTCTCCAGCGCTGGCTCGCTCGGCAATTTGCTGAACAAGAAACAAACACAAAACATCGGTAAACAAAGGAAGAAGCTTTGGACGCGTACGTTGGTAGAGTTGTACGTACCTGTACTCGAGAATGCGCTCCACGGAGGTCATCTGGTTCTCGAGTTCGGTGCTCTGGCGCATGCCCCACTGGAACATACCGGTGAGACCGATGCTCTGGGTGATGGCCAGACCAACGGAGGCACCGTCGGGCTTGTCGTCGTTGGTGCTCATGATGAGGAAGCTCAGGGTCACGAGGGTTATGTACACCAGGCAAAAGACGTCGAGGTAGAAGCCAAAGGCCCGAGAGGTCGCTATGAAGATGTACCAAGCCGACGAGTGGAGGTCCTGGTGGTTGTCAAACTCGTTGATGAGGGTCTCGTCCGCGTCGAACGACCGGATGGTCGCCAGACCCTGCAGGGTGGCGCTCAGGTGACCAAAAACAGGTGAACGAGCTGCAAGAGGACCGATTAACGACAAGTCATCCAAACAAGGGGCAACTGGGGCTAGGGTGGGGTGGAACCATGTACTTACTGACGCCCTCGAGTCGCTTGACGCTGCGCCCGGTGGCGATGTAAAAGACTCTGATGTACCAAAAGACGAAGCTTATGGCGAAGGTCGCGAGGAGCAGCCACGGCTTCGACATGGCCACGACGACGATGATACCAAGGAGGGACAGCCCGATCTGTAGGCAATCGATCAGAGCGACCGGCAGGAGCTCGTCCACCGCGCCCATGTCCTTGGAGAACCGATTGAGGATCCGGCCTGAAGTGTTGGTGTTGAAGAAGCGCATGGTCGCTCGACTGACCGAACTGAACATGGTGTCGTGGAGGTTGCGCGAGGCCCGCATGCACATGTTGAAGAACGCCGAGGAGCGCACGAGGGTCACTATGATGGTCAGCACCGTGATCCCGCTGTAAATGTAGATGCACTCCTCGCGCGAGATGAAGCCCACCCACCCGTCCTGTCACCCGAAAAACAATAAAAAAGGTGAGTTTTGTATGCGTTTTACATGATATGTGTTGTGTCTGGTGTGCGCTCACCTTGGATTTCTCCTCCATGCTGACCCACATGGATATGAAGTAGTCGCCGAAACTGGCAAAGAACTGGGATAGGATGCAGAGGAGAAACATGGTGAACACGACGCAACAGTTGCCTCCGGCGCCGAAGTAGCCCCGGTAGACCCAGCCACCGACCGAGCCTTTGCTCCGCATTTCCTCCTCTTCCTGGGGATCGCCGATTCCCAGGTTGTTCTCGTTCGTCATGAAGGAGCTGAGAGACGTTATGCTACCCTGGCGCGATGTGCTGCGGCTCACTGGTGCCGAGCCCCCGGCTTCGTCCTTCGTGTTCTCCTTGGCCGACTGGGACTCGAGTAGCCGGCCAAAGTCCACCCCCTGGGCCACCAGCTGGTCGAACGACCTGTGTGACGATTCGAGGGAACGATGAGTCATGTCCGAGCTGTCCGCTATTTAGTTATTTGACGGCTTAAATGATCGTACCCCTGAGCCTTGATCAGCCCGTCCTTCAGTACGATGATCCTGTCGACCGTGTTGAGGTACTGGAGTTGATGGGTGACCAGGATCCTCGTCTTCTTCCTCAGGTACTTGGTGATGCACTCCTCGAACATGTGCTTGCCCACGTGGGCGTCCACAGCGCTCAGTGGGTCGTCGAACGCGTAGATCGGCGTGTCCGAGTAGACGGCTCTGGCCAAGTTGATCCTGCACACCCATACGTACGTACACGTGAATGCGTAAAGTGAAAGTCAACGCGCGTTTCATCTTTAAACATGAATATACGCGCGCGCGCGCGCGCATCCAGAGAACAAAAGCAATTGTTTGTTCTCTGCCGATCGTCGAGGCAATTGAAAGTAACCCGAGAGCCCCGGTACCCCGCTACTCGCGATCAGACTTACCTATACTTACTTGTATTTAACAAAGTCCCCGTATACAGACAAGTGTTATATTACGTCTTTGGCTTTGTTGTTTTTTTCACTCGTGCAAGACATCGAAAAATATCAGTCGAGTTCTTCTGTCTCTTCTAACTATAGTTTAACCTACTAGAATATAGTTACCGATGGATACCGATCTTTCCGATGACTCTTACGCGTATAGTGAAACACAACAGGATTTTTTCCAAGAAAAGCGTGTTATAAATCCTCCTGTCAGTCCGCACGCAAGAGCCCATTAAAAAAAAAAAAAAAAAAAAAAAAAAAAAAAAAAAAAAAAAAAAAAAANACTCTATATTTTTATTCTTTTTTTATTCAAATTTTCATATGTTTGTAATAATAATTGTTATAATGGATGTACATTTAAAAAATAGAAAAGTAATTGTTGTATTGAGCTATTTTCTTTCTTTATTTATATTTCACCTTTTCAGGGGTTATCAGATATGATTTGTAGTTACCACAAGAAATGAAAAACAGAATCTGACTGCAGTCTTTGTAAGAATAGATTTGAAAATTATCAACAATTAAATTTAATGGATGTAGTTTCTAGTGTACAAATATATATATATAATTCTTGATTCGCGTAACAATCCTATTTTTTCTTCCGAATTTCAACATTAAAAAGGGTTATCTGGTCCTGTATCTGTAAAAAAGCAACTTACAAACAACATCATATAAACAATATATTTGCACTCGTTCATACGAAAAATATACATATATTTATATCTGTGTATATCACACGTATACGATTTTTCGCCTAATGCGCGTATAAATATGTAGGTATTATAAAAAAAGTGTCGTAACACTCGTAACGACACAATATAATTTTACATCAACATCGATGCACATACAGGCACTTGTACTTGGGAGTCGTCAAACTCACTCCGTAATTAATGTGCGTTGTATCATTATCATCTCATTTGTAAGTATATGTACAGTTTCAATATGATTAACTTAAATAATAATATCGTAAACTTAACCATTTACGCTTAAAAAAAAATTTTTCATAATAATTAAAAATGAACTATAGCGTTTAATTGTATAAGGCCATTTTCACGAGAACACGTAAATGTGTATTTAATGACATAAAAGGGGATATTTGGCGTCACCTTCTCTTGAACACTACCAAAACTTGTTACAAATCTCTGACAACAGACATTTGTTTTCATTCAATTAAGTAACATAATTTGAGATGTGTTTTATGTCTTACAACTATGGCAAATTGGCGATCTGAACGATCAGCGCTATCTAGCGTGGATGATTTCAAACCAAAAAAGTACCACATTTCTTTTGAAAAAAATTCACTAGGAAAAGTAACTAGGCTGGTGTCCGAAGCAGAGGGTCCGGCTCCGGTCGACCCTAAGTATGCTTTCTAGAAATTCACTCGTGCCCGTATTGGGATTCCAAAAGGTCACGTGACTCTCGCGATATGTATATAGTTACTTGGGGGAAAAATAACACAGGCTTTGTAGGTGCAATTATATTTTTAATTTTTTTACACGTTTAACGATTGTAATACGATAAAATCCGTTCAATAACATATTTTTGAGAAGATGACAATACCTTCACTATTTTTTCTTAACTCAATTAGTCTTTTGCAGCTTAAAACTTTCCTTTGAAAGTGCGAAAACGCACATTTAATATAATTGTACCTACAAGGCCTGTGTTATTTTTCCCCAATCGCGAGAGTCACATGACCTTTTGGAATCCCAAACTATATAGCGGAGGGTCTATTGGAGCGGCTTCGGTAGACCCTACGCTCAACTCCTAGAAATTTACTAGGAACAATTATTTTGAGTGTATCAGCGCCATCTAGTGTTGCGGATTTTGCGGGTTGTCGCAAACTATTTTCTAGGGGAACCGTCTTGAAAAAGTCCCTAGATTCTAGGGATTTCTTGAAGAAGTAAATCACTAGACATGTATATAGATATACTATGGTAGGTCGAAAATCTCAGACGTGAAGGGTCTATTTGCGTGCTTCGAAATACGCAATTCGGCTCGAGATTTTGATGGTCACATGCATAATAAAAATACTAAAATTTACCAAAAATGTAACAATTGTCACCCACACATGCCTCGCTTTGGTTTTATTGCGTATATCGAAGCACGCGAATTAATAGACCCCCGAAGGTCCCGAAGCTCGTCGGTCGTCGATCGAAATTGCATTTGGGTGTAGCGCCATCTAGCGTTGCAAGTCCTGCTGTGCCGACAGTTGACACAAGATAAGAGGGATACCTGCAATTCGACCGAGTCGGCCAACCATCGGTACATCAACGATAATATCGGCCCTGCTGTATCGACAGTTGACCGACGCACTGTGCCGACGCGGTCTACTGATGGGGTCTATTTGCGTGCAATATAACGAAAACGCGAGGCATGCGTGGGTGTCAGTTGTTACATTTTTGGTGAATTTAAATATTTTTAGTATGCATGTGACCATTAATCTCCAGCCGTATTGCGTATTTCGAAGCACGCAAATAGATAATAGACCCTTGACGTCTGTGATTTTTAGCCTACTGATTTTATCATTCTGGTAAAGAGAGCACGGTGCAAGATGTACGTGATGTTATGTATAATAATCACTACTAAGTAAGTAAGTAGTGCCATATGGTCGATTTTATCAAACCATAATATAAGTAAAATATCTTTTAGAGGTCAATTTTTAAGTAAAAGATAGATTGTAAACTATCTTTTAATTTACAAAATTTTGTACTATGTACAAAATCAGTTGCGGCTGGTTTATAATCAAAAAAAGGCTCTACTGTAAGTTGCAACAATTTTTGGATCAGCGCCATCTAGCGGTCTTTATTTTTTGGCCAAAAGTGGCTCCTAAAATTCTAAATCAGAGCATTTCGGATTAGAGCCATTTAGTCAATTACAAACCAGCCGCAACTCATGACAAAGCTATAAAACAAAAAAATAACGATATATGTGTTTTTGGCGGCAAGTTAACAATCTATCTTATACTCGAAAATTTATCTTCAAAAGTATAAACACATAGGAGGTCGATTTTTTGGTAGAAAATAGATTGATAACTTGCCGCCAAAAACACATGCTCCGTTATTTTTCTATTTTATAGCTACAAGATAAGTTGCGGCTGGTTTACAATTGACTAAATGGCTCTACGCGCTAACGCTCTGGTTCAAAAGTTTAGGGCCACTTTTTAGTTCAGAAGTCCGCAACGCTAGATGGCGCTGATCCAAATAATTATTACATCTTACAGTAGAGCCATTTTTTTGATTATAAACCAGCCGCAACTGATATTGTAGATAGTAAATAAAAAGTTGATGTTGTTTGTGCTGTTTGCGGCAAGTTTTATTTTTTACTAGAAAATTGACCTTTAAGAGTATGGATATTCTACTTACATGGTTTAATACAATCTTAGAGCATATACCGATACTACTGGAGAGAGCACGCATGCTGCTGAGATCGTGACACGGCGACCGACTCAGTCGGACCGAGCGCTCACTCCAGTAGTACATGCTCTAAGAAATCCCCTGATCTAGTAATTTTTTCCTAGTGAATTTCTTTCAAAAGAAATATGGTTCTTTTTTAGTTTAGAATCATCCTTTTTTTTCAAGAAAATCCCCAACCTAGTAAGTTATAAATACCTATGTATCTCGGCGTGATTATATAGTTGATTATCCAAATATAACGGACGCAATGTATTTTTTCTTATGTTTTGTTTGTTTTTTTCATCAGTATATTATAGGAACGTAGATTTCTTCCATCCCCAGGACCCCAAATGGATCAGAACCGTAGCTCGCTAAGCATAAATCAGAGTATCAGACTCGGATCAACTTGTAAGTCCGCAAAGCCAGTACGTGTAAGTGGATTTGTATATATTTTTTCCGAGTTGCTATCTGTTTTTAAGTCTATTGAAAAAAAAAAAAAAAAAAAAAAAACCATCAATCAATCAATCAATTGCAGAAAAGAACCGACCTGGCTCTTTGTCCTCCGGAAAGGCTGATTCCCCGCTCGCCGACGATGGTCTTGTCGCCGTAGGGCAGCAGTCTCAAGTCCCTCCTGAGCTGGCACACTTTGATCACCTGCTCGTACCTGTGCTGGACCATTTTCCTCCCGAACAGTATGTTCTGGCGCACCGAGCCCGCGAACAACCACGGCTCTTGGCTCGCGTACGCTATTTGACCATTGACCTGCGGGGAAAGTACATTTGTTTTTTGTTTGTTGTTTTTCGTCCCCCCCTCCCCCTCTTTTCATCGTCGACGCTCTCTCTTCTGTCGTTCGCTCGGAAAACAGGGACGGCGCCGTCGATTGCGAGATAAGTGCCTTTGTAGGTAATTGAAAATTTAATGGCCACGAGGGGAAAAAAATGGTTAATCATACACCTTTGTACGCGTTGAGAAACTCGTTATCTCGTACATATAAATGCTCAGCCTTGGCGCTCTTTGCAGCTTCAAAAATACAGTGTCTAATTGACTTGCGAGTACACCTCTACAGAGATAATAACCGTAATTTCCGAGGTACTGCGAGCCGCAGTTATTTAAACATGTGCATTCGAAAAATCGGCCGGTCGATCGTACCGATATTCAACCGATCCGGAAAAAATGGAGGAAAAAATACACAAGTCCTCACCTCGACCCTTCCAGAGTTAAGCGGGAGTTCCTTGAGTATGACGTTGAGCAAACTGGACTTTCCCGAGCCAACCTGGCCGACAACGGCGAGCAGCTCTCCCGGCTTGACGTCCAAACTGATCCCCGCCAAGGTGTCGGTTTTTTCGTGCGCCAACCACTTGGCCGACACATTGTCCAGCTTGATGGACCCGCTGTTGTCGACCTCCTCCTCGGCCAAAGTATTCGCCGCCGCCTTGCCGTTCTCCTCCGGCTTCCTCTTCTTGCCCTTTTTCCCAGTGTCCATTTCCTCCCTCGGCTTCCGGTAAATCATACTGCGGTGCGCGCGAGTCGACACCTCCTCGTACAGCATGAACTTTTGCAGACGCCGGATGGACACCAGCACCTCGGCTATCTGGGTTATACCTGACACAAGGACCGAGGGAAATTCAAGACCGGACGCTGAGTTTTAAGACCCTCCCTCTGCGGTTGCCCCTCTTTTTTTTCCTTTTTTTTATCCCTCACACAAACAGGTTTTTGATAACAAAAAAAAAAAAAGAGATCCATACGATGTTTTTTTTTTTTTTTCCAACATATAATCACGATAAAAGACAAAAAAAAACAGTAGACGCCAATGCGCAGTTATTTGTCTCGGTCTATTGTGCGTACACGCGTCGTGTGTATCGCGTTACAGACGCGCGAGGCTCGCGGGTCGTTGAGCTCTCCGAGCTTCGTTTACGCGGAACTGCTTCCTACGCGATTAACAAAACCAACTCCACTTTTGATCCGAACGACTATAAAATTAACCGAGTCGCCGAGCCGGAGAGTAGGTAAAATTACACGAGTTGCAAAGCATGTACATTGTACTAGGTTTCGAAACACCGTGGCGCGCACGCGATAAGCGCGAAAGAGGAAATGGTGTATCATATTACATACATTGTGTACACGAATGTGCCGAAAAACAGCACGATTGCCTTTATAAAAGTAAATCCCCGGAAAAACAAGAGAGGGGAAAAAAAAAAAACTGACCTTGGGGAAAGAAAACGGTCATGTTGGTCCTGAGTATGTTGTAATAGGCCGTGAGCATGAATACGGTCTCGGCGGTGATGTCATTTCCCAGGAGGACGTACGTGAGTATCGTGATGAACAAAGAGAGCCTCGTCGAGAATATGATGAAGGACATGATGGCCCCCCTGACGTACGACATGCCCCTTATGACTTTGATCTCGTTGAACCTGGCCTTGTGGATGAGCGCGCTGAACGGCTTCTCCCAGGTGTACATCTTGATGGCTTGTATGCCGTTTATGATCTCGTTGGTCAGCCTCACCCGCTCGTCTGTCCTTATAGCGGTCTTGAGTCTCAGGGACGATGACTTTTTCCCCAGGAAGCCTTGCAGCGGTATGAACATCAGCAGGGTCGCCACCCCGATGATGGCTGACTTTTGGACCTCGTTGTACATGACGTACATGACGATCATCGTCTGGAGGGGCCCGATCCACAAGTAGTGGAGGAATATCGTGGCCACGTCGAACCGGTTGACGTCGTTCGAGAGTAGGTTCACCGCCTGGCCAACCGTCGTCTCGCCCAAGGCCGTGCGCGACAACTTGAGGGACTTGCGGTAGATGAGGGTGCAACAGGCCACCCGCATTTTCATGCCCATGTGGAGGATGGCCATCATGTACGGGTGGATCACGAAGACGTTCAGAGCCGAGCAGAGGATCACCCCCAGGGCGTACAGGTACGCCTCGTTGAGGCTCACGTTGCCGCTGCCCGTGAAGTACTTCAGCAGGTAGGCCAGGAACTGCGGCTGCAGCACTCTGTCGAACGAAGAAGGACGTACAACGCGTCGTCTTGGTACCTTTTTTCCTTTTTTTTTTTTTTTTCATCAATGCTTTGGTGGAAAATATAGTTTTGTCCGAGCAAAGTACACGATTGGATAAACAAATTGTTATGGAAAGAAAAAAAAAAAAAAAAATACATGTACGTATGTATATATTACGTGTGCGGTTAATCTCGGTAAACAATATATATTTTCCCTGGTACACAATAAGTAGGTCGTTATTGTTTGACGTGATATTCACATGAAAAAATGTTATTTTATCGGTAGCAAATATTGTATTATTGCCTTTTGAAACCTTAAAACAATATACGCACGTCGCGAACAAACATATATTCTAACGTGCGGTGGTCGCTAACATCGACAAATACATGTATGCACATGTTATTTGTACACGTGTGTGCTCGTTGATAATTTCTAGTCGGCGTCCGAGAAGTACGAAAACGAGGGGACGACGAAAAATGAGCGTGTGATCTCTCGAGGATTCATATTGTCAATGGTGTAAAAATGCAACCTCTGTCTAGCAAAAGTATTAGCTGCGAGGCCATGTATATTATACATAATAACAAGAGAAAAAAGAAAAAAAAAAATTGCGAACCTCAAGTGCATTAAAGATAAGTAACGCGTTTAACCGCATGATGATACAAAACGCAACACGCGGCATTGGTCTATTGTCTTTTATTTATTTTTTTTTTTTTTTCGTTTCTCATATCAAGCAGCCACTGGCTGTCGCGTACAGTTGCTTCCTGACTCTTCTTTCCCCTTCCAATTCAGCGTCGATTGAGACCATTGAAGCCGTTGTTATTTTCAATCCTTTTGTTTTTCCTCCCGCGAATTTTTCACTCACGCGGATCGAGCATACTTTGTGAGAGAAGAAAAAAAAATCTTTTTCAGAAATTCCTAGGTGACGCAACCCACTCACCGCGAATATAAGTAATCGTAAAAAACTTTATCGTCACGATGACGACTGAACGATGCCCCCACCCCCTTTAACTTACAGTAACAAATTTACATGTACGCGGGAGGGCAAAGTAAGCGATAAAGAGCACACGTGGCGTGGAAGAATGACTCGGTGTATTTTAGCCGATTGCATAAATCGTCGGAGCAAAACGATGCGGTGGCAAACCAAGTAAGAGAGAGGGAGATGCGACGTGCAAATCAATTGCGTGACCATCAACGATAGCGCGAGGAGAAGGAGACCCAATTGGAGAAGGTCGGAGCGAAAGAGACTTTCTGTGAGGGAAAACCAATTTTAGACAAAGTTTTTTTATTTTTTTTATTTTACAACACTAAACAGTTGGTGAATTTTCATGCGGCGAGCAAGTTTTTTTTTAATCTTAGATCGTGCGTGTCTTTATAAATAAGGTTATCGTCAAATTACTTCATTTTTTTTTCATTTTAACGTATAAAACATGTTTACCGCAAAACTATGTGGATTAAATTTTTTACGTTTACGTGCACATTCAATTTTTATTAAAACTGATTTTGGGAAAAAAGTGTTATTTTTTTATAATCCATTTGATCGACAACGATAACCCAATTTAAATTAGTGATAAAATGTATGCAAAAGCGTAGATAATGGGATTAACTGTAAGCATTTACCGCACAATAACGACTATCTAATTTTATTGAAGATAAATTTCACGCTTATCGAGCTTTAGGGCAGAAAAACCATCATATTTTTCGCTACAACTCAAAGCTGTCAATACTTATAATTTTTGTCATATAATGCCGGAGGCTCCCAAACAACGTCCATAAAACTTTGTTTTCAAGTTCTCTTTGGCTTTTGTCCTTTTACCTATTAATTCTCATAAATATGGCCCATATGAACACGGGAAACGTTCACCACTCGTTCAACAGCCCCAAACTATTTTCCCACAAAAACTCGAACACAGGTGACACACAGGTGAGTCACGGTAATTAACGCCATCACATATATGGACAGTCAGACAGTATACTGTTAACAAGCCCCTACACAGCAAGGCTAAAGCCGGATGTAGATAAAACAACAGGAAAACAAAAACGACTGTGTAAAAAAATTCTAGAATGAATATTCAATGAAAATTGAATAATAGTGCTTTCCAATAATTCTCGTTAATCTACAAGAGTGGATTTTTATTGACTCAACTAATAGATTGTAATGTAGCTCTTTACATTTCCCTATAGATGTTTGCAATTCATTTGATAAAAGGTGTAGATTCATGAATTAATTTTTTTTTTTTTCTGGTAACTGACACCGTTACGGTGATAGTGGGCTGATGCCTTTGGAGCATAGGTACAAAAGAAATTTCTGATGATCAAAAAAATGTTTACTGTATAATAGTTCCAAGTGAATAATCTCTTGCGATAATTTTTTTTTTTAATATTTACTTGTTACTATTCTATGAAACTTTTTGTTAGTTCTAAATTTTTTTTTTTTTTTTTTTTAGAATACAAGAAATGTAAATGAACGAATAATCAATGTGAAAATGTTAAGTAAATTGTATGAAAAAGGAAAAAAAAAGCTTGCAAGTTAATGCAACTGCGTGAGCTATAGTGATAAGTACTTTGGATACCTATGCAATCGAAAAATTATGATAAATGAGTACTAAAAAACAGCAAAAATCGTACAGTTAGGAAAAAAAAAACGAATAAAAATAAAGTGTTGGACAACTCGGGCAAACACAAACACGTTCGACTTAACGGTGCATGTGACGGTCCGTCGATACAACCACTTGTTGCAGTAGTGGCCGAAACGATGACATTAGTTGGGAAAGAATTATTCAGTCCTCCTCTCGCCGAGTGCGACAATACAGGCGTGCAAGTATTTCGAGCTCTGAAGTGACGGACTAGCAGCGATATCAATTGCGGCTGCATCCATCTACACGTGGATTATGGCACATTGGACGTTAATAATAATTTTTTTTTTTTTTTCATTTTTTAAGGGGAAAACATTTCCTTGATTTCGGATATTTTTCTTTTTTACATCAACTCGAAGAGAACCTTAATTTCAATAAACCTACATAGAATCGATGGTATCAAGAAACTCCACACGTTAATCATATTCATATATAGGTACGATTCAACAAAGATACCACCCAGAAGAAATATAAAATTATTGAAGTGAGACATTAACAACGAAAACATTACCTGAGTCCAATTTCGAAAATGGCGAGGACAACCCCGTAGAGCATAATTTTGCAGCCGAAGCATTTCCAGAGCACGCGCAGCAAGCTCGGCTGGGGGCCTTGATGGGTCCCAGGTGGGTCGTCCCCCTCCTTGCCCCTATCGCCGCTTTTTCGTTTGGACAGCTGCTTGTTTTTCACGCGCTGGCACTCCTCCTCCCATAATCGCGCAATCTTCTCACCCAGTAGGTTGCTCGTGTGTTCCTTCAGCGGCTGGTACAGGTCTTGGATGTCGAGGTCGCGACGGTAGCCCACCCAGAACAGCCGAAGGATGTAACTGGAGGGTACAATGCGACATTTTTTTTTTCGTTTCCAATACAAATTTATTTATAATGAAAGAAAAAAAAAAAATTGTTTGCTTCGAGATCACGAGCTAACAAGTTTTTACTACTTTTTTTTAAGTGGGTTAACAAAACATAAATTCACAAGTATGAATTTAAAAAGAGGCGTTGGAAATAATTAAATACTGCTGTCAAATAATTAATGTACCACTTTTCCTCTCTACCATTTTTCAACTTTTCATTATAAACATTGTTTTTAATAGACAATTTATTTTTTTAACCATTGAAAAAATTTATTTGTTTTTGAAAATTTTGTGTACGTATGGATTAAAATTTCATCCAAACTATATTTCTTTCACTGTCAAAAATCGATAAATTTGTGTTTCAACAATATCTGATTGTATATGTATGTATTACAACGTATGAAATAATTTAATCATAAATAATCCAAATGGCAATTATTAAAAAAAAAAAAAAAACTACCCATCAGTTTATCATGTCTTCAAGTCATTCTTTGAAAGAAAAAAAAGAAAACTGTAAGTCAACAATGAAAAAATTTCAAAAACTTTTTAATCACCCACATATTTTATCAAAAGTGAATAGGCCGCAGGTAAAAAATGTGCCTTTTACTGCAAAATTGAGATGTCCGTCAAAAGTGGACATTTCGTTGAAACAGTACATTAATTCAATCGGAATTCACGTTCATTAATCGCGTAAACATATATGTGTGTCATAATGCAACGCAATCGTGGCTGCGAAAAAAAAAGAGATAATCTTCCTCATGCTTTTCTGAATACTTGTGATTCTGGTATCTTTTGCTTTGCAGGTGGCACTTAATTATCATTGCTGTATTGTGAACTTCAAGCACGCAACAATTGTGCGAAATTGCGCATTGGAAAACAAAGATTTACGAGGAAAAGAAAATAATATTATATGTATATACACTCTCACACAAAAGAGATACTGTGTTATTTATGATGATATTTTTTTTATTGATTCTATCGATTGATTTCCCTGGAGAGAGTGAAAATCTTATCAGTTTATCAATCTGGAATTTTTGTTTTCGCTTTACCATTATAGTTGTTGCGTGGTAAGTATTGAGGTAAAAATTTCACTTGGCTAATGAAGCACGAACTGCAAGTCTGCGCCAGCTGGTAACGAGCGGTGACTTCATTTTTTTTTCTCGCGAACACGTGGAATTTAATTAGCGTTACTCACCCAAATGTTAACGCGCTCAGTGGATTTGCGTTCTCCCTTGGGTTCTTGGGCTTCTCTGAGGAAATTTTGCCGTCCATTTTCTCGCTTAGCTTCTACCTGTCTGGAAATAATTAAAATTGTCACTACCGTTGATGAAAAGTTGTGCAAATTATTTTGTATGAGCGAACAAAAAAATCAGGTTTTATGTTAATTAAACAAAACTCTCTGAAATGTCGAATTATTTTAGTCATGAATTAATTTTAATTCATGGGAATGGCAAAGTTTTTCATTGCATTCTTAATATTGCTTAATATTTTTATCCTCATGTGCAGACGAATTTAGAAGAATTAAGATTTTTTAAAAATTCCAGTAATTTCGGTTACGCAAAGCGTTAAATTTCAGTGATGTTTGTTGTTTTGATTTAATTATTGAAAACATAAAAAATCTGTGGTCAATACAAAAATACTGATAATACGCATCAACAACCCCAGTGCTTTTAAAAATTGAATAGTAAATTGTGTATTGATAAAATAGTTTTTTCTTTTGTAGAAACTTTTCAATTTGTTAAATTTCTGTTGTTCAGCTTGTACTACGAATGATAATGTGCGCTTATACGTTGAAATTTAATCTGAAAAACCTGTTTGTCATTGTTATGCCGTACATATCAATTCAATTCTATTTATTGTAGTTTGCGGAACGCATAAAGAATCTTTTGACAAGGTTTTTTTTTTTTTTTTTTTTTTTCAATTAAAAAGAAAAATACAAAATTTTTATTTGTATCAAATATATTTGGCTGCTGTAGAAGAGACAGTTTGATACTTTTACTTAAATGACGTACGAGACGACGTAGAAGTAACCTTAACATGTTCTCAACACAAAAATAAAATATTGATCGTCAAGATAGAAAAAAAAATTTAAACGACATAATGAATGTCAATAGAAACTAATCTCACTTGTTAAAAAAAACGGTGTAATGTATACACCAAAAAGACTACAGTGACTTAAAAAGTTGACGCGTATGTCAACTGGACAGTATTGTTAGTTTGCTGAGAGATTTTTGGAAAAATGAGCTTATCTAATGAATATAAGGAAGAAAAATTTCTTTTTTTTACAAAGGTAAATCATATCGGACAAGAAAAAGCTAGAGGGTTCATTGTGCCTTGAATATAGTTACCTTCTTGATTGGATGTCAAACAGATTATCAGTAATCTAAGAGTACTAACAAGTAGAATAAAATAAATCATGCGCTTACGTAACAGCACCCACCACTCATACACGAGAGTAAATTGATGGAGAGAAATTAAATGTTTTTTTCCTTTCCAACTTTTACTTGGTGCATCAAATTACTTTAATAGCCCAAACACTTGAGATCCAGGTCATAAAAAATTTAAGCAACCAATAAAGATACACACGTTATTTTTCAGTTTTAAATAAATAATTTATTAATAATAAATGCGATATCAAAAGTGTTGAAACCATTATTAATAAAAAAAAATTTTTCATCTCTTTCCCAAAGATAATTGCAGCTTAATACATTTAAAACAAAGTTGTATTTATTGCACCTAGAGTTATAAGAGATCAAAGTAACGCGGGGGTAGATTAATACCTGATAACTGCACCTCCTGAACAGCAGTAACGTTCGAGCGAGAACAGATAAAGATTTTTCAGGGTTGTATAATGAAATCAGTAGCAATTATATTAATTAACAAAAACAAAAATTATATTAATGGAAATTTCTGCGATTGGATGATTTTTCTATAAACATTTCAGACACGCCAATGACGGGGAAAATACTAAGCTTAAGCTCATGATTCAGAGTACGACGAATTTTTGTATGACAGCACAGTAGCGTTGAGCGTGATTGTTGTCGGTGAAATTCGAGTAAACGGATCACGGCTGAATTCTTTATTCTTTTTGCTGTCGGTGAAATTAATGACGCTGACTAGTTGCCCTGAGCAAAGCTGCCGTTTTTGGGAATAATTGTGGAAAGAAAAGTAACGACTCGATAAACGAAACATTGCATTCGTTGAATCAACACGCATATTAAATTGATTTATTTGAACGCGTGTATTAAGAAACGTGACATCTTTGTGTCTTTAATCGTTCCGCATGACTCGGATTTTTAAAATTAGCCTTTATTGTTTGTGTGTTAAAAAAAAATTAATTTACAGTACAGGAATATCTTCTGACAACAATACAACATTCGTTGTTAAAATTTAAACTATTGTTATTTTATTCGTTAGAGAAAAAAAAGACGGAGGACACCAAAAACATTTAATAATATCTGTTCAGTACGACTTTCTTCTTACATAATAGTAAATTTCAGTGTATTCATTATCGGCTTCTATAAAAGACACGCGTTTGGTATAAATAAAAAAAGAGTCGTAAAAACACCTAAATTCATCAAACAAATAGATGTTACAAGAAAATAGTAGGATCAATAATTGTGTTTGATTCAAGCTTAAAAAAAGAAAAAAAAAGGAAGGCCTCAGATAAGAACCGAACAAGCATTAGTACAGCTACCGATTACAAAAGACACATGTTTGAGGATGTAAACAAGGGAATCTGTGGCTGTAACAATAAATGAAAAGATAAATAAATTGAAAAAAAAAAAAAAAAAAAAAAAAAAAAAAAAAAAAAAAAAAAAAAAAATACGGTCAACATAAATCGCACTCGTAGTTATATATACACGGTTTAAACAACGACACGTCATATACAACCGATAATCAAACAGAAACTATGAAAACAAACAGACACGCGCACACAGACACGCGTAAACACACGATTTATAAATAAATCGGAGCTTCGGATGCTTTTCCCACGTACACGCATACGCGTAAAACTCGGCAAAAGCTTACATAATTACCATGAACCAACCTACGATCCGAGCAAACGAAAAAAATGACAAAAGGAAAAACCCCCGTCCCAAAAGCGCGACCTTGAACTTTGCAAAGCTAACAAGCGCGTAACACGCGAACGATCTTGACTATTCGACAACATTAGCAACAGGGAGAGAAAACTTTGTAGTTTTTTTTTAGCGTGTGTACACGGATGCGTGCGAAAATCTCGGAAATTTAACTCAGCTAACCTTCAACCGGGGACCTAACCAAGCCACCCCCTCGCGAGGGTACAACGTTTTTATTGTCTTTCAATTAAAAATAAAGAAAAAAACGTAGAATCCTGTACGCTTTCAACGAGGGGCAAACAAAAAAAAAAAAAAAAAAAAACTCCACTCACCCAAACGTGCTATCGGCATAGGAACACTGCACTGTCGGCGCTATTGATTAACTTTCTCTCTCTCCCTCCCTCCACTGTCACGGCACTTTCGATTATTTTTTTTATTAATCTCCTCGTTAATTGCCAAGTATGTTTATGTCTTTTTTTTTTTTTGTTCGAGAGCAAACACCAGATTCGAGCCCACACGTGTAGTACAATACGCAAGTGCGGCACAAAGAGCCCTGTGCTCCGAAACTCCGAGACGAGACGAGTCAGCGGCACGACTGAGCTGATGTAGCTCGTTCCCCGAGCAATATCTATTCCATTCCATTTTACTTAACCAGCACACACCCACGGAGCTATGCGAGCGGCCACTCTTATCGTTGTGTGCACCCGCTGGTGCGCGCGTGTGGGTGTCGTGTGGCACGGAAGGGAGGAAAGAGCGGGTCCGTCTCTTCTATTCGACAGCAAACTGTATACAATACGCGCGCGCGTTGGCAAACCTAACACATATAAGTACATACGTTGTACATGTGTGCGTAAAAATTCGCAAAAGCTGACCTTCGCCAGCTGTTTCGTCTGTCTGTTCGTGCGGTGCATGTGTGATTTTTTTTCCTTTTTAGCGGCTGAGTTGCCTGGACCAGTTTCTTTCGGTTGTATAACGAGGGGATGCAACGCAGTTTTTTATTTCACGATTAATTTCGATTGATTTCCAAGGAAAACTTTTTTTACGCGAAACTCGGATTTGGCTTACAAATTTTTTCTTATTTCATGCAATTTTTTAATTTCAATTATTTGTTTGAATTTTATGGCTTCGTATACATATAGTTTTGTGATGGATAATAAGACGAAAGAACATATGTGACAAAAATTGCAAATTAAAATTTTGCTGAATACGTGGGTATATAGGATAGAGCGAGCAATCATGGGATCGTTTGCATATGCTTCTTGACGCCCCGGCACGTCATTGCTCTTCTTACACAATGATGCGATAAGAAATTGATGGAATGATCCGTTATCAACACGCGAACGCTATCGGCGAGCAAAACGTTCGGATAAAGTGTAATTCTAGATCCCGAGTCATTTTAATTTCTTTTATACTTTTCATCTCTTCTCATTTAAATAAATATTTTTTATTTTTTTGTACCAAATTTTAGGATATTTGGTAACTTTGTTACGTAAGTTAATGCGAATGTCACATTTACCTGGGTGTGTTATTTTAATTAGGGTATGTCCATAAATTGCTTAGCTTTTTATTATCAACCATATTTGAACTCTCCGTTAATATCAAATTACTTGAACTCGTTGTTAATATCATCATCGAGTCAAATAGTAGAATAAGATTTTACGATAGCTTACCTAACATTTTTTATGTGGTTTTATTATATTTGATTAAGTATTTTTTTCCCCGAGTACGTTGAGAGCAATGAGCGGAAAATTATGGCCAAATTAGAGACCTTCAAGAAAAAAATCTTATTTTTTAATCAGAGTTTATCTTTTGGAAAGTTATAAAGTACGAGTGACTCCAAAAACATGTTAACTTATGTAATTTGAAAAAAATAATTCAACATATCGTCAACAACTTATTATATTAAAAAAAAACGTTTTTTCTTAATTTTATTTGAACAAAACCCATTCCAATGTACCAGTACTTCCAGTAGTCCTTAGCAAGTAATTGTATTTATTAAAAAGATAACCAATGACCATCGAAGTAACGATAAAAATCTCTGATAAAAAAAAAAAAAAAAAAAAAAAAAAAACATTCTATTATCGCTGTAACATCTGATTCGTCATTAAGTTTTCCAGTGCATGGTAACATTTGTTTTTAGAATGAATTTTATCGAAAGTTTTTCATTTTATCGTTCGGACGCGCCTTGCATTTATTAAAAAATGTACATGTACTTCTTCACTCCGAACAACACTCCATACGCGGATTATTGACATTAGTGCGCGAGTTGTATCGAAACCTAAAGGGACGCACGTAAATACCTTTTGTTACTGAATCCAGTACGGTGTGGATCGATACTTGTCAGTTGGCTCTCGTTTTAAAACAACACGCACGACAAGCGCCGAAGCCAAAGGCAATCGGCTCGTTAGTAGTTATCTTCAAATTTCTCATGACGTTCTTATCTCAGCAATTAGGAATTTTCAGGCATGAGCAAGACCAGCCGGCTCTCTTTTGTCCAACAACGAGATTGTTCTTACAACTTTGTAATGTAATATGGAGAAAGAACGTTGCGAATCATGGACCTACCCCCTCATAACTACTCCAGACGTAAGTATTGAAATTGATAGCCGAGAGAGAAAAAGATGGGTGTCATAAATATAACTTTGACAACGCAATTGTTAAAAAGTTATTGAACTGTAATATCTTTGAATATTTACGGGGAACAATTTTTCTTTATCACAATTAAATAAATTAATATGTAAGACATCAAACGCATTACATCCCTGGAGAAAATTACTCAATGGTAACATCCTGCCCATTAAATGGTCTTATTGGCGATGCAAACAGATCTGCTGGACGGGTATGTCTTTGATCGTTTTCTCCAACAGCCGTCTTATTGGCGTTCGTCTCGTGCAAGCCGGACAAATTGAATTTCATGAGGAAGCTCGTCAAACATCCAGACAGTAAATTGAAAGTAAAAGACAAATTTTTACGCATTCGAGACGTAACGGAGACGCTGGGTGCGGACCATTTTGTTTTAGTGCTCGTATTTGTTTAGAAAGAGATGTACTTTGAGCGTCGATTTGTATGTTTGCACAGTTTTAAAAAATGACACGTAACATATAGCAACACTTTCATAAAAGTATGCGTTAAATGGCAGATTGTTATTATTGGTTGGTCGAAAGGTAATAAAATATTACTTATTTGAATGCAGCAAATTTTTTATCGGGTGTGAAAAAAAAAAATTAAATTCAACTAGGCGCTGTGGTTCGAAATTCTTGTGATAAACTACTATGGATAACGAAAAAATTTTTTTACAATTTTTAATCACTGCTTACTTTTCGTATTGAAAAAAATGATAATGTAGTATGAATTAATTTCTTCAATTGTACAACAAAAGTTCAATTTCACTTTGCACAATAATTCATGTATACAACCACGAGTGTGGACAGAGTATGACGTTCGGTATTGTGTACAGGAAAAAAAAAAAAAAAAAAATTTTATACATCTCCAAACCAAACTAAATAGAATTTTGTTCCCACATTGAGTGACAAACTTACTTGCGGCGAGGAAAAGTGACAATTAATCGTTGGCTTTTAAATTGTCCTTAATTATTTCAAGGCTAATAAATCGTAACCGAACAAAACGTCATTCCCAAAGTTAATTTTTTTGTGTACATAACGTTTGTAGGATAAATTTTAAGGGTTAAGTTTGATTAGATGCTGTGTGTATCCAATAATTGAAAAGTTAAATATTACAGTAAAGAGATAAAATATCTTTTTTTTCTATTATAATGTACTTAGTGTTACTATTTTTTTACTAATCGAAACTATTTATAGGTGCATTATTGCTCCATAAAAGTGTTGCAAATCAATTAGAAGCAATCTACATTCCATCAGATGTTACTCAAACCTTCTAATTTGTTGAGCGAAACTTATATCTCGTGCGATGGTTTTGAACAACTTGCACTACTTGCAATTTGCAATATTTTATTTGTACTTTTCAATTAACAAAAAAAAAGAAAAAACTAAAACCTGATTTCAATGAGGACTTTTGAGTTTAAATTAAAAATGATAAACTTTATTTGATGGACACAACATCAAGTAATTCGAAATAATACTGTGACACAGTATCTTTTATTCTTTGTTTATATAAATGCAGGCCACTGTGTATTTAGTTTCTGTGAACGTTGATAAGAGTATAAATAGATGGAAATTGGGATGATAAAAAATCAAGGAAGTACGGAGTTAGTTTTTAATGGAAGTTTTATTAAAATTATCAAGCTATATTATCTCACTGATTTAAAAAAACGTTAATCATGATTTATATTTGATTGTTTTGTTAATATCAAATATTCCACATGAAATGAAATTTGATTTATAAGTAAAATCTCGATTTTAACTACACTAACATTTATTAATTCTATGAAGTAATTTTTAATACAAAATGTACAAAAATTTCTCTCATAAATTAAAAAGAAAAAGCTGATAATAGTAAATTAAAAAATCGCCGAAGAAAATTGCCTCAATCAGTACCCAAAACTTCCCGAGTATNTGGATGTACGTACGATACATAACAATATGTACTATTTGTCTTGAAGATTCATTAAACGATCAATAAATCGTAAAACTCGACGAATCCGCGTCAAGTAGTCTCATTCAAATATTCCCGCCACTCTCGCCAACCCCTTCCCCCACTCCGCACCATTTTCCGTCAGCTACAGCCCCCTGGCGCGAAAAGTGTAAAAATACAGACAAAATGTGGAGTTCAACTGTTTGCCCGTAGTGCGCTCTCGGCTCTCGAGCGGAGAAGAGAGTCGTGTGGAATACGTCTCCGTTGAGCCGCGAGATAAGGATACAATAACCCTACAGCTGTAATTTCATCAGGATCTTTGTTCCTTTTTTTTATTTGTTTAAGAATAGTTTTTTTTTTTTTTTTCTAGAAAAGTAAATCTTGTTCGTGTAAAAGTCTCCAAAGCTTTACAAATATATACTTACGTGTAATTGCGTGCTAGGTTGATGACTGTTGCCGTGTATTTGGGTGTAAATATACATACGTGTATACATCGTGTACAGCAGAAGAAGTGAAAAAAGACGAGGACGAAAACGTCGAGGTCCAAGGGTAAGAATAGATGTATAAAGCTACACGCGTCAATTATTCGTACACGAAATAAATAACAAAATAAGGGTTCGATTTACCAAGTGAGAATAGCACTCTTTGCCATGCATCAGCCATCTTTAACAGTGTATGCTTGCTTCTGCTGTCATTGTCTTGAGCGCGGAGGTGCGCGTGTGCGTATGTATACATACCTACACATGGGCTGCTCATTTCGGAGCAATCGGAGCAGACCCAACTGATGCATCGTAATTTCGCTCAATAAAGGCATTAGTCCCATTGGTAAGCAACTGTTGGAAGCTCCTTCATCTCGTTAAATTTAGTGTGTTATTGAAACATAGAAGTGGAAATCTATGAGGCTGTAGGAGTCTTCTCATCATTACACGTCGATCATCATTTTTGAGGTTAGGTTAGATACGTGTTTGTGTGTAAGACACTTCATCATCCCCGTCGAGGAAAAGTTGCGTGGTTTGTCCTCTTGTAAATACTTGGTTCTATTACTCACCTTAACTTTTTTCGTTCTCTTATTTTATTGTTATTTTTTTATAGCTGTTTGTTCCTCGCAACAAAAGAAGAAAGTGAATGAGATCCGTGTAGTTGCACTCGCAACGATGAGTCATTCAGAAAAAGAGGAGCACGCCAGCTGCATTAGTTAATACTCACCTACTGTTTATAATTTGCTGTTGTTGCTTCTATTCTTTCATAATGTTTGTACATGTATTTACGGTAACCTGATTTGTGCAATAGATGGTTTGTAATACACGTGAACTCGGCTGTCGTAGCTTTTACATTTATTTACACCGGAGCGCTGGATAATAATAGTAAATAAACAGCCACGCCTGACTGGCTGTAGATACGTAGCAGGTGCGACAGGAAGTCGGATACATTTTGATTGCTCTTTCGTGAGGTCGTGCATATATATAGAGTATATAACCCAGTGCCCGTATAGTGAGAGCATCAGCAGGTACACGCGGAAGAGAGAGAGAGAGAGAGGCGTCATCGCGGCTCTTGGCTCCAACTCGGGGAGTTGGCAGCGTGACGGTGGGAACCACCTGAGCGTGACGATCCAGAACTGGATAATACAAAAGTTGTTAAGGAGCAGAGAGCGTTAGGTGATTGCTCGCTCGCGCATTCACGTAACTCCAGTGCGTCTTGAGAAGGTGTATCTAGATGGTTTCTTTTTTTGTTGAATTTTTTTTTTTTTTTCACAATTTTTCTTCAATGAGGTGCTGCTCTTTTGGATAAGATAACCCAAATGTCGTAGTAGAATAATTTGATGTTTATAGATACAGGTGTCAAGTAATCAAAATAAAATTATGTAGATAAATTTGCAGACTTTAATGCAGGGAATAGTATAGCATTTTTTTTTTCTCTAAAAATGGTGCAGGCGAGTCGATGCAAGATACACAAACTCTACTTATTCCTTCCACCATTATCTCAGTTGTTTCATTTAATTTTACAAGTTACATAAGAGTTGACGAAGAATTTTCACCTAATACGATTATTCACATAAAATAAAAATAAAAATAAACAAAAAAATATAATTGAACGATATAATGGCATAATTCTGAAAACAATTCAATTCAATTGTACAAATAATACTTTAATTACTTTAAACATTGTTACACCTGTAACAAAAGCAAAAATAAAAACCATAAGTTAATTACATAGTTTCCATAGAATGACCCAGAGCGAACTTGAAACTTTTTTTTCCTTTCGTGTAATCCACTTACAAAAGACAACAGACATCAAGGTAGCCGATTAAATCACGTTTTCGCTTCTTTTATAACATAATTGCAGTTATTAAGTGAGCAATGTTTCCTGTTAAAGCATCCATAAATAAGCCTAGAAAGATGGTTTTTAGTTCAGTTCTCAGAACATTGTACATCAAAAGAGTAAACGCAAAATGGGCTGTACCATGCAGATGTTTATTTGTCTGTTGGGCTGTCTTTTCTTAACAGTTGAGGTGGGACAAACACAAAAATTTACTTAAAATTTAAAAATCATACTGCTCACTAAAACATTATTAACATAATATATTATTAACATAATACATATTTTTCAGTTGCGCGCCACCTGCTGTAAAAATTATGGAGAAGTAAAATCGGCAATCAACGAGTGCGAGGAAGAAGCTAAATCGATGGAAGGTTCGAGTACACAATTTGAAGCTCTAACATATCATGTTGACATTTAAATAACTTACAAATAAATTTATCGATTTCTAGGTAAATATAAGGACAGTAAAAATCAAATTTGTTATGGATTAATTTGCGTGGTCAAAAAATGGGGATTGGTACGTACATCAATTGAAAAATCTTTTAATCATTTGTTAAATCAGACACTAGTTGCATAAACCCGTGCATTGTTTTTCCAAACAGTTGGAGAATGGAACGTTCAACGTAAAAAAAGAGGAAATGCTTTTTAAAAAGATATTCCCAGAGGCCAGTGCAGGCGTGACGTCAAAGTTACTCGAATGCAGTGCAGCAGGTTGAAAACAAATATTGAAAAAATTTAATTACAAAGTTATTAACACTCGTTTAGAAAAAAAAAAAAATATATATCAAACAATTGTTTATTTGTTTATAAAAGCTATCGACGAGAAGGACGAATGTCAGGTGTTGGTGAAAACGTACAATTGCTTGTTCGACAGTAGCGACCATCGAATGGAAATCGACGCGCTTATCCAGAAACGCGAAGACGAACACAACTAGACGAGCTCAACACTTCGTCAAAAACTCCGCACCGTGGATGTACGTACGATACATAACAATATGTACTATTTGTCTTGAAGATTCATTAAACGATCAATAAATCGTAAAACTCGACGAATCCGCGTCAAGTAGTCTCATTCAAATATTCCCGCCACTCTCGCCAACCCCTTCCCCCACTCCGCACCATTTTCCGTCAGCTACAGCCCCCTGGCGCGAAAAGTGTAAAAATACAGACAAAATGTGGAGTTCAACTGTTTGCCCGTAGTGCGCTCTCGGCTCTCGAGCGGAGAAGAGAGTCGTGTGGAATACGTCTCCGTTGAGCCGCGAGATAAGGATACAATAACCCTACAGCTGTAATTTCATCAGGATCTTTGTTCCTTTTTTTTATTTGTTTAAGAATAGTTTTTTTTTTTTTTTTCTAGAAAAGTAAATCTTGTTCGTGTAAAAGTCTCCAAAGCTTTACAAATATATACTTACGTGTAATTGCGTGCTAGGTTGATGACTGTTGCCGTGTATTTGGGTGTAAATATACATACGTGTATACATCGTGTACAGCAGAAGAAGTGAAAAAAGACGAGGACGAAAACGTCGAGGTCCAAGGGTAAGAATAGATGTATAAAGCTACACGCGTCAATTATTCGTACACGAAATAAATAACAAAATAAGGGTTCGATTTACCAAGTGAGAATAGCACTCTTTGCCATGCATCAGCCATCTTTAACAGTGTATGCTTGCTTCTGCTGTCATTGTCTTGAGCGCGGAGGTGCGCGTGTGCGTATGTATACATACCTACACATGGGCTGCTCATTTCGGAGCAATCGGAGCAGACCCAACTGATGCATCGTAATTTCGCTCAATAAAGGCATTAGTCCCATTGGTAAGCAACTGTTGGAAGCTCCTTCATCTCGTTAAATTTAGTGTGTTATTGAAACATAGAAGTGGAAATCTATGAGGCTGTAGGAGTCTTCTCATCATTACACGTCGATCATCATTTTTGAGGTTAGGTTAGAATATTGCAATTTTTTTACAAATAAAGAAAATAAATTTCATTTTAACAAATTAATCCATATTGTTGTTGTTAATACAATAAAATTTATTAAAGTCAACTTGTATGTTTGTAAGATTGCTTTCTCAAGACTGTTAATATTTTAATATTACACACTACAATTTATATAAACATACGTGTACGTAAATTTTACGTGTACGTAAAAACTATGATTTGTAAGTACTGAAAAGAAAAACTCCAAGTTTTCAGTAAGTGAGTCGATAAAGCATGAATCTACATCGAAAATGTGCTGCCAGTATACTCATTGCGCCATCTGACATTGTAATTAATTAACTATGTTAAGGAACCATTTCAGAAGGTAAGAGTAATTATGGTTGATCACTAATCCATGTGTAAATTAAAGCCGTTTTAAAAATAATTTACGGTAAATTATAAATTACAATTAAACCATGTGTTAACTTTAACTAGGATAAATAAATAATCAAAGTATCTCAGTTTTATAAATTTTATAAATTTTAAGAATCACGCGTCAGTTCTTCGACAGTATGACAGAAGGATCTAATTATTATACAAATGAAGTATTGATAGAAATTTTTTAATCCATGGCTGCTGCATTAATTTATAAATTCATGATACACCTTAAAATTACGTTTAGTTTCAATGATATGACTACTACGAAGAGTATAATAAATATAATTAAAATGTCTCGTTATGATTTTTAGTGCCATGTTCATGATAGTAAAATCTGCCAATTAATTGTAACTAAGTTAAAAATTTACCTTTTTTGTGATTAATATCGTTTTTTAATTACCTTTATAAACTCAGAACTAGAAGAGTAGACATCAAAGTAGGGAAAAAATTATAGATCATAATAACATTTATTTCGCGTCTTAAAAGTTATTGGCTTCAGTTTAAATGCATATTTTATGGACACGTTATTATGTTACAATTCCAAATATCATAAGATTAAGTGTTTCTACGCTTACATAAACAAGGGATTTTAAATAGTAGTCATGTTTTTTTTTCTTTTTTTTTTTTTTTTTTCTTTCAACTAAAAAATTTTTAAGGAACAACGATTTACGATTACCAACACGCCATATTGTCATTTGTGATGTGTACAGCTTGTTAACGACAAAATCAACTTTGAGAACTTACGAATGTAATGAAAGAGACAAAACAATAAAAAATGACGGCATTGTATTAAAAATTACATTTGCCATGAATTGTAAAAAATAAAATAACTTTTAATGCAATTTATAGATCTCCAAATTATTTTAACTTAATAAGCTATGGAGGTAATTTACAATCATGCGAAAGTTAATTAACATAATAAATATTTATAAATTAAATTTAAACAAAAAGATGCAAAATATTGTTTTAAAAATAATTTTTTTAAAACCATAAATTATCTCAGTTGTTTCATTTAATTTTACAAGTTACATAAGAGTTGACGAAGAATTTTCACCTAATACGATTATTCACATAAAATAAAAATAAAAATAAACAAAAAAATATAATTGAACGATATAATGGCATAATTCTGAAAACAATTCAATTCAATTGTACAAATAATACTTTAATTACTTTAAACATTGTTACACCTGTAACAAAAGCAAAAATAAAAACCATAAGTTAATTACATAGTTTCCATAGAATGACCCAGAGCGAACTTGAAACTTTTTTTTCCTTTCGTGTAATCCACTTACAAAAGACAACAGACATCAAGGTAGCCGATTAAATCACGTTTTCGCTTCTTTTATAACATAATTGCAGTTATTAAGTGAGCAATGTTTCCTGTTAAAGCATCCATAAATAAGCCTAGAAAGATGGTTTTTAGTTCAGTTCTCAGAACATTGTACATCAAAAGAGTAAACGCAAAATGGGCTGTACCATGCAGATGTTTATTTGTCTGTTGGGCTGTCTTTTCTTAACAGTTGAGGTGGGACAAACACAAAAATTTACTTAAAATTTAAAAATCATACTGCTCACTAAAACATTATTAACATAATATATTATTAACATAATACATATTTTTCAGTTGCGCGCCACCTGCTGTAAAAATTATGGAGAAGTAAAATCGGCAATCAACGAGTGCGAGGAAGAAGCTAAATCGATGGAAGGTTCGAGTACACAATTTGAAGCTCTAACATATCATGTTGACATTTAAATAACTTACAAATAAATTTATCGATTTCTAGGTAAATATAAGGACAGTAAAAATCAAATTTGTTATGGATTAATTTGCGTGGTCAAAAAATGGGGATTGGTACGTACATCAATTGAAAAATCTTTTAATCATTTGTTAAATCAGACACTAGTTGCATAAACCCGTGCATTGTTTTTCCAAACAGTTGGAGAATGGAACGTTCAACGTAAAAAAAGAGGAAATGCTTTTTAAAAAGATATTCCCAGAGGCCAGTGCAGGCGTGACGTCAAAGTTACTCGAATGCAGTGCAGCAGGTTGAAAACAAATATTGAAAAAATTTAATTACAAAGTTATTAACACTCGTTTAGAAAAAAAAAAAAATATATATCAAACAATTGTTTATTTGTTTATAAAAGCTATCGACGAGAAGGACGAATGTCAGGTGTTGGTGAAAACGTACAATTGCTTGTTCGACAGTAGCGACCATCGAATGGAAATCGACGCGCTTATCCAGAAACGCGAAGACGAACACAACTAGACGAGCTCAACACTTCGTCAAAAACTCCGCACCGTGGATGTACGTACGATACATAACAATATGTACTATTTGTCTTGAAGATTCATTAAACGATCAATAAATCGTAAAACTCGACGAATCCGCGTCAAGTAGTCTCATTCAAATATTCCCGCCACTCTCGCCAACCCCTTCCCCCACTCCGCACCATTTTCCGTCAGCTACAGCCCCCTGGCGCGAAAAGTGTAAAAATACAGACAAAATGTGGAGTTCAACTGTTTGCCCGTAGTGCGCTCTCGGCTCTCGAGCGGAGAAGAGAGTCGTGTGGAATACGTCTCCGTTGAGCCGCGAGATAAGGATACAATAACCCTACAGCTGTAATTTCATCAGGATCTTTGTTCCTTTTTTTTATTTGTTTAAGAATAGTTTTTTTTTTTTTTTTCTAGAAAAGTAAATCTTGTTCGTGTAAAAGTCTCCAAAGCTTTACAAATATATACTTACGTGTAATTGCGTGCTAGGTTGATGACTGTTGCCGTGTATTTGGGTGTAAATATACATACGTGTATACATCGTGTACAGCAGAAGAAGTGAAAAAAGACGAGGACGAAAACGTCGAGGTCCAAGGGTAAGAATAGATGTATAAAGCTACACGCGTCAATTATTCGTACACGAAATAAATAACAAAATAAGGGTTCGATTTACCAAGTGAGAATAGCACTCTTTGCCATGCATCAGCCATCTTTAACAGTGTATGCTTGCTTCTGCTGTCATTGTCTTGAGCGCGGAGGTGCGCGTGTGCGTATGTATACATACCTACACATGGGCTGCTCATTTCGGAGCAATCGGAGCAGACCCAACTGATGCATCGTAATTTCGCTCAATAAAGGCATTAGTCCCATTGGTAAGCAACTGTTGGAAGCTCCTTCATCTCGTTAAATTTAGTGTGTTATTGAAACATAGAAGTGGAAATCTATGAGGCTGTAGGAGTCTTCTCATCATTACACGTCGATCATCATTTTTGAGGTTAGGTTAGATACGTGTTTGTGTGTAAGACACTTCATCATCCCCGTCGAGGAAAAGTTGCGTGGTTTGTCCTCTTGTAAATACTTGGTTCTATTACTCACCTTAACTTTTTTCGTTCTCTTATTTTATTGTTATTTTTTTATAGCTGTTTGTTCCTCGCAACAAAAGAAGAAAGTGAATGAGATCCGTGTAGTTGCACTCGCAACGATGAGTCATTCAGAAAAAGAGGAGCACGCCAGCTGCATTAGTTAATACTCACCTACTGTTTATAATTTGCTGTTGTTGCTTCTATTCTTTCATAATGTTTGTACATGTATTTACGGTAACCTGATTTGTGCAATAGATGGTTTGTAATACACGTGAACTCGGCTGTCGTAGCTTTTACATTTATTTACACCGGAGCGCTGGATAATAATAGTAAATAAACAGCCACGCCTGACTGGCTGTAGATACGTAGCAGGTGCGACAGGAAGTCGGATACATTTTGATTGCTCTTTCGTGAGGTCGTGCATATATATAGAGTATATAACCCAGTGCCCGTATAGTGAGAGCATCAGCAGGTACACGCGGAAGAGAGAGAGAGAGAGAGGCGTCATCGCGGCTCTTGGCTCCAACTCGGGGAGTTGGCAGCGTGACGGTGGGAACCACCTGAGCGTGACGATCCAGAACTGGATAATACAAAAGTTGTTAAGGAGCAGAGAGCGTTAGGTGATTGCTCGCTCGCGCATTCACGTAACTCCAGTGCGTCTTGAGAAGGTGTATCTAGATGGTTTCTTTTTTTGTTGAATTTTTTTTTTTTTTTCACAATTTTTCTTCAATGAGGTGCTGCTCTTTTGGATAAGATAACCCAAATGTCGTAGTAGAATAATTTGATGTTTATAGATACAGGTGTCAAGTAATCAAAATAAAATTATGTAGATAAATTTGCAGACTTTAATGCAGGGAATAGTATAGCATTTTTTTTTTCTCTAAAAATGGTGCAGGCGAGTCGATGCAAGATACACAAACTCTACTTATTCCTTCCACCGAGAAATAATTAAAGACACGCATACGACCGTGACATTGTCACATGGCGTTATAATATATGCGTGTAACTGTCCTCCGTTTTTTCACCTCTTTCTCTCTCTCTTATTGTTACGGAACCGCTCGTCCTTTTAAATCCGAAGCTGAAAGAATATTAACGAGCTCCGGTGCTACGATATACGTCGGCACTGTCTGATTTAATTACCATTCCGACTGCGCTTTTGTTGTCGCCTATTGTCACTCTTTCTCTCCTCTGACGGGAGTGTGCGTAAGCCGTTTAGTACAGGCGTGACCTGCTCGTGCAATGGTGCATTATACGTATACGTAATACATATATATCATTGCACCTGCACGTAACGCAAGTACGGCCTTTCTCACACTGACCTCGATCCCCAACCAGCTGCCTTTTAATAATTGATTGCGATGTTTTTTTTTCTCTATCGATGAAATTTCCGATACAAACCCAAAACAATAAAGCGAACGGTCGATTTTCCGGAAACCGCGATGCGCAACAATGCAATAAATACCTCGTACACGCGCTTTTCTTCCCCGACGCGTTCTGATTCCCTTCCTCGGCTTCCTCCTCCGGGGCTTTTTGAAAGTCCGCTGCAACTTTCGAGCAGCGTCACGCGATCCTTTTTTTTTTTCCGTCCAACACCGCCGGGGCCCGTCCGCGCAGTTACATCCTATACCTCTGATACACGGCTTTCTAGGCAAGGAGTTATCATCGGGGTTTCCAGGAGCTCGGATGGCTCTTGCCGGCGCGTTTCAATTAACTTTCGGCTCTCTCGCCAGCAATTACTCGCAGATCTAGCCTTTTTTTTCTTCCTCTCCAACTGTACTCACACCAGAGAAAGTGCATTGAATGTTTTTTTTTTGTTTTTTTGTTTTTTGTTTTTCCGCTTGACAGATGTATAAATTCAATTAACCGCGAGTTCACTCGTGTACTTGCAACAAGCGCCCGAGTCGTGAACGTATATAAATACTCTCAAAGTACGCGTTTGTCGATCAATTTCCATCAAAATTAATTTGCGGCTCCTCACGCGTCGACGAATCAAATTTGGATTACGTATAATACTTGGTATGATTTTCTCGAAGCCTCGGTGCGGGTAGTTTTAGAAAGTTATACCTACGTTTGGAATTTTCATTGCTCCCCCCCCCCTCCGTGCCTTCTCTGCTCGCATGTGTATAGCCACGTATCATTGTTTATGCTAAAGAAAAAAATAAATATTTTACTTTCCACACGTGCCTTTATAACTGCACGACGAGAGAAAGAAAAGGGAAAAATTCTCGTGACGAAATAATAGCCGTCACGCGTTGTAGAGAGCGCGTTGCGGGGGAGGGAGGGGGGGGGGAGTAAAAAATAAAAAAAAGGTCGAAAATTCGCAAAAGGTATCACTCTCCGTGAGCTAAACGTCTATTTATAGGGAGGTAGCTTTTGCCTTGCGGTTGGCACTCTGCTGTATACTGTTATCTGCATGGAAGTGCACGGCCGCGCGGTGTGTCCTACGTTTTGTATGTCAGATTAGCATTCAGTCGTGCCGCTATACGCGACTCTTTTGAGCTTGTGAGAATGTAGATGCCGGAATTGTGATTGTTTTAACTGTATTTTTTCTTTTTTTTTTCTTTTATAAATTTATTTTTTCGTTAAGGATGCAAAAATTAGTTTCGATGATGTTTAGGTAGTTTGGGTTGTTATACATCCGATGAGATGGTATAGGCAGGATAATTTTCATGTAAATTATAATATTGTAATCGATTTGACGAGTGGAGCAAATGAAATTGATTTACATTGACATATGCGTTCACGTTGAAAAGAGAAAAGCACGAATGAAAGGAAAAAAATAAAATAACCAAAGATCCTCGTCTGTATCATCTAAAAAAAACAAAAGTTTAAGAAAAGAGCAACGAGAGTCGAGTTGGTGACAAAAGCATCAAGAGGAGGCTGCTCGACGTCGTCACTGAGGTCGTAGGAAAAAAAAAAAAAAAAAAAAAAAAACCAATATCGGAGCAGCAAAAAAGTGCACATGGCGTGACGTATACTTACAGATGTATATATACATACAACGGCGAGTATGAGTCATCGTCGCAGTACGATCCCGACGACCTCGTACTCGTAGCCATCTCATTCTCTCGCGCGTCTGTACACATTATTACCAACATATATTTATATACCTGTACTCTTTGCGATACATCCAAGTACTTATCTCTGTTTTTTTTTCCGTTCGGATAGTTCACGCACGTATCTACGTACAATAATTTGGCTGGTAACGAAAAATGACATTTTCCGTATTTCATTCCGCATAAGTTCACACTAAGTATTAGGGAGATGCGATAAGCCGTGCTGGAGTTAATTGCTCCGGTATATACGGGAATGAGGAAAAAGGAAAATCAAGAAGAGCAAAAATACTGGCAAGCCAAAACGTCGTGTGACACCATGCATGGTTGGGGTCCAGCTGTATCGCTGTGCGTACATATTATAGATACCAGTATACTTGTATATATATGTGTATATGTATATAGCGCATCAACGAGATAAAACACTTTTCCAGCTTCCTAAATAAAATATGTATACTGTTATCATAGAAAACAGTAGTCTTAGTAACTCGAGAAAGTATTCGTTATTTGCTACAGTTTCCTCAAAAGATTATGCTCCCCACATACAAAAGAGAGGAGTGAGAGAGAAAAGTGTGCGTTCGGTTCGTATTAGGTTTCATTTATGTAAATTAGGTGGTGTTCATTTATCGGCTGCACATCTTCTACCCCTGTGTACTTATTGTATATGGTAAAAAAAAGAAAGATCGGCTCTTGTTCATTCTCGTCACCACCGACAGGGCTGAACGCAACCCTCGAAAAAAGCCCCTCGACGCTCCCGATAGACAGCTCCTTTGCACGTCTTCCGCTCGACTTGCCTAATTAGCCCGCGTCCGCAAGCTACACAACCTCGTTAGACCCTCTCGTGTGGATGGTACACACACACACACACACGAAACAAGCGAGGAATTATCGCGTTGCCTCATCGCCGAGCGATAAATATTTTCGTACTCTGTCGCACACGGGTCGTAACTTGTAAGCTTCCCCTTCCACACATACATACATTTTACCTTTCATCTTCGATTAGATATCTCTCATGTATATATATATACGTGTACCTATTATACCGCGTACGAGTAGGTATATCATATATATATATACGCGTGGTAATAATTCTATGTAGGTACGCCTCTCATGTTTTTCCATACCAGCACACGTCCGAATTATTCCGGGTTCAGTTCATACGGTGTATACACGTAAATATAATTTATTCGAAACACGAAACGCAACGGCAACGCACCAAGTAAGTATAAATACCCGAGCCAAAAGAGCACGTGTATTGGTGCATATTACATTTTCTCATCCAAATTATTTCTCCCAAACATTGAAAAAAACAAAAAAAACAAAAAAAAAACAAAAAAATAATAAAATGAATAAATAAAACAGTTGTACTTGGATAGCAAGTACACCTGTACATACACACACGCGAAAAGCGCCTGCGCTCTCTGGAAAAGCACCTCCTAGTTCCCCATATTTTCTATCCTCGAAAAAAAAAAAAAAAAAAAAAAAAAAAAAAAAAAAAAAAAAAAGAAAGAAAGCTACAAATTCCACCGCACACCTTACAACCCCTATTCACGAACGTTAAAATCCACCCCCACACACGCGCGCTTGCTTGGTGTGTCAACATACACGTAGCCTACATACCCGCAGAGCAAACGCAAAAGAGAAAACATATATATATATATAGAGGGTCATCAACATCGAGCCGACAAAGTCAACGAGCGTAAGCAGCCAGGGTGGGTATAGGGTAGCGCATGCGCCAGCCAACCTCCCCTACCCCCCAACGGAGGGTGCGTAATGCGGAAAGGGGCTGTTGAACGTATACGTGTGTGATATATATATATAATATAAAGAGTGAGCGGGTGAGGGTGGCAGCGTCGGCCGTCAGTAGTGCGCGGAAAGCAGGACCTGCACACACACGGACCCCTCGCTGATTTTTCCCTCACTCGCAACTGTTACGCTCGTCTCTCGTTTTCGTGTGTCAACGCGGACGCGCGCCTTAACCAACTACAGCGTCGTCTGGGCTCGGATGTAACAAACTGTGTGTACGTAGACTTTTTGGTGCGGCTCACCATAGTGGAGGAGGCGGAAGACGAAGCGCACGGTGATCGATAGGCTTATAAAGAAGAGGAGCCAGACAGACAGACAGACATACGCGAGGGGGCAGAAGGAGAAAGGAGACGAGGGATCGAGTCGTGTATGGGGGTCTCCTCTTGTTTTCCACCCCCGCAAGCGCACAGTGGTGGAGCGAACGCGACGTGAGTCGCTCGTGGTAGTGCTCCGTGTTTCTCGTGGGATCGTCGATTGAGACATTTTGGGGGGGGGGGAATCATCGAGGATACAGCAAAAAGAAGGCTGGACCAATGGGTCGTACGGATATGTCGAAGACGCTCAACGCCTACAGAATGTGAGTACTTGTACTGGCAATGTCATTCGTAGGAAAAGTGTAGGATATGGTGCGAAGAGAGTATAATAGTTCGACCCCCCCCTCCCATCCCTTGCATTGTATTCTTCCTTGTCAAACCATCCCTGTGTGCGAGGGTTGGTAATTTTAATTAAATTACCAGCCAAGCTCAGAAGGTTGGATTACACTCCACGTATAGGTAGATAGCGTACAAAAGGATTAGCCTTTGTGTCTCGATGCTGGTAAATATTACAACTATCAATCAAATTATACACGTGACGCTCGATACTGGTTTGCCTGTAGGTATGTATATATGTACACCCAACAGAGCATCGAAAAATCGTCGAGGTTGCGTGTGTATTTTGTTATTTAATGACTACCTTGCACATATATACCTACACACGACGACCAGTCGCAGCGATTGTTTTAGTTCTCTATGTGTGTACCAATCCTACATACAAATGCTCCGCTCGTTGGAAAAGCACCTATATCTGTTTTGTGTGCACAGTGCGCCGATCGTGTATTATAACTATACGCACGGTGAGATGATTCTTTTTTTTTTTTTTTTTTTTGCTCAATCATCGCTACTGCGGGTTTGTAAATTATGCCATTGTCGACTCGGGTCTGTGTATGCTCGGAATTTACTGTACCTCTGCTAAAATTTTTTTTTTTTTTTCCAGCACTTCGGCACTCGTCGAGGCAGTATTTTTTTTACAAGAACAGTTAAACATGCCCTCGAGAAGTTGAGTACATAACGGCACTGCTCGAGAAAACTTTGGCGCTTCTATTATCGATTATACTTACCATTTTGTCAACTTTTTTTTCCTGCCGTCAATATACAATTCCACAACAGCTCTCCGGTCGCTTGTCTCTTTTATGGTTTTGCCAAAGTGTCCCCAATACATATGTGTATCTGCTGCAGTTTCGGGCGCCCAGGCTGTGTGTACCTATATAATATAGTCCTTTACTTATACTTGGGTGCACACGAACACGATACGATTTTTAAGTGGACCGCGTGGAAAAAAAAGGGCCACTTCGGATTCTGCGTCCCCGAAAAGACAGAAAGACGATCCCTCGCACTTAATCCTCGTGAATAATTCACGAAGCTCAAAACCGAGCCAAAGCCGTACACGCGCGCCTAACTTTTCGTCTCCCCCGTTGTTACACCTGTATAAAATACCCGTCCGATTATCTCTCTCTCTCTCTCGGGTGAGTCATCGCGTCGCAAATATTGGCACCTACGCGCGATCTGACGAAAAACTTTTTTTTTCTTCTCCTTTAATCGCTTGCCAAAAAGTGTACGAAGAAGAAAAAAAAACGATGACCCAATCGTCCTCGTTTTACGTGTAAGTAGAGGAGGAGAGGAAGACCGCAATTTCCGCCGAGAATTCGTACAAAAGGGAGAGAGGGCGACATTGGGTCGTAGGTTTTTATTTCACCGAGCAAACGCTCTAATTGCCGATGCGTCCCGTGACCGAACGTATATACACTTACTACGTGCAATTGCGGAGAAATCGCCAACGGAGGTACAGCGTGAAATTCATGTCGATTTATATACATACACCAGGTGTGCGTCTTGGAAAACTGTACGATGGTATTATCCAAAGGAACCTATACGCGTTGGAATGAGAATCAATACTTTGGAGGCACACGCACGTGTATCCTCGTGGCAATTTTCTCCGCACGCGATTTTTCTCTGACAGCGTATACTATACCCGTTTCAAAGTTGGCGATGAAAAAAAAAAAAAAAAAAAAAGACACAAACGATTACGTCAGACCCCTTTATTTGTGTACGTATAGTTGATGATTGTCAGCTCCGACCCGAGAGTGGTAATCACCGAATGTTTGGCTCAAAAAATAGGAAGCACACCTTCGGACGATTCGTGCGCCTTGGTCAATAAGAGAAAAAAAAAAAGTGCACGCACTACAAGCGTGTCCGTGTTGCGCAACGCTTCCTCTTTATTCGATTTCGGTCGAAAAGCCGTCTCGCCGAGAAGGGCTTACTGTGGTTTCCTTGCGTCACCCCGTAACACGAGACTTGTCCCTTCTCACGATATACACCTACAAGGGCAGGGTGGAGGGGGTTGATTTGTACTTTATTTTCTTTTTGCTCCGAAACAATTGCAACACACTACACTCCTTCATAAACGAATCACAATGTGCGATCTTTAATCTGCAATGTATGTATTAATAGGCCCATCGCGCGCGAGAGAACAAAACGAGCGGCAAGCCGGGCTAAAAATAGGCACTGTCCATTCACTTTCTCTTCGGTGCCGTCGCCGTAGTAAACATTTGATCGATACACGAGAGTAGGTACGTATACTTACACGCACCGGTGAGACGATCGTATATACTTACCTCCCTCCTTTCTTTTGCCGTGCGTCGATGTACTTGTCTTGCTATCGGGAAACTTTACGGGTTTCAATTTGCAGTATCTAAAATGATTGTACCTCCGTTGACTGACCCAGCATTTTTGTCCATTCATGTTTACTGAATTTTTCTTACTCCCGAGCATACACGTAATGCACGTCTTGCTTAATCACCTTCCTTGTCAATGGCAAAACTGAAACAACAAAAAAGGCCCACATTTACCATTATTTTTCTCTCAAAAAAAATGGAAAAAAGTAAAGAAACGCACAACCAAAAGACATCAGTCAAACATATACACACTTATCGCTTCACGCAGACCTGGTTTGCTCGCAAAAACCCGTCGAGTTCCACCACAGAAAAACGAAAGTTAAAAAAAAAAAAAAAAAAAAAAAAAAATCCGCAGAAGGCCGCCAGCCTGGGTCTTTTGTCCTTCCTGCCCCTCTCTCTCTCTCTCTCTCTCTCTGTACTGCGGTAAATTTGAGGGAAAAACCTCGGTGCAGCCGAGGTCAAGGCGCTTTGGCTCGCGAGTCAAGTCCATCCATGCACGCGGACCGGAGAAAAAGATCGCTGGTGATTACACACAGCCCCAACGATCGGGATCCTGCATCCTGCATTTATATTATTATTCCTTGGCGAGCCTCCAATGTACCCGTACTCGATAGTAATAACATAGTACTTGCGGATGCTGGAGGGATCTTTGCTTTTTTTTTGTATCGTTATTTAGCTCTTGAGTACCCTTTTTTTGGAAACAAAACATATTGCCATCGTTCAAAATATATAGGTAATGATACAAGTGACGCGCATCCGAAAAACAAAAGACCAAATCAAACCTAATTACCGCGAGTCGGCATTCCAGCCAATAAGCGTCAAAGTCCAGGGGAAGGGGAGGGTGGGGGGGAGGAAATGAGCGCATCGAAAAGAAAAACCGATGCGAATCATCTCCCTTCCGTTTCCAGTCAAGGGCGCCTGCGCGTTTTTATTGAACCCCCACGACACCAGGAGAAAACGCCGGCGGGCGATGCTTATACGTTGGAAGCGCCGGATTTTCACGGCTAGTCACCAACTAGCGCCGCACGAGATCCGGGACCGCTGCCAAGGTGTCGTACCGGTGGGTGTCTCTGCCATGGGGTAAGTTCCTTCGTCGCATTGACGGGCTGTTTTTTTTTCTTCCCTCCTCTCTCTCTCTCTCAAAAGGACACCCCACACGGCTCCACTGCTCCTCTCTCGAACTCGTTCCCCATTCGGCTGTCGTAGGGGTGCCTTGTCATAAACTTACCCTTCCGATGTTTTGGATGTTGAATCGTGGCTTTTGTGATGCACATATCACACGGTGTACAAAAGACTCGCGAAATATGGTACAGCTTTCGATGACGTTCGAGGGTATTGCATAGCCGAGGTTGTTCGGAATGTAAGTAGGTTGGTTGGTTGTCAGCTTGCGATCGATAAACGGCGCGTGTGCCCTATATACCTACGTACAACATAGTGGACGACCATAGTGTAGACTGTGTGCGCGCGTGTGCGGGGGGGTTGTTGATAACAGAGCGAAGAAAATAAAAGGGGTGTTCGATGCGTACAATGTATGTATGTATGTGATGTCGGTTGCAGCAAAAAAATCGAGACGATCGGTAGAATGACGGCCATGACGCAGGAGGAGATAGTGGCCGGGGCGCGGACGGTGGCCCAGGGCCTGGAGGCGTTGAGGGTGGAGCACACGGGCCTCTTGAGCGGCATGCAGTCCCAGGAGGCGCCTGCCGCGCGGGACAAGGCCGGCCTCATCTCGAAGAACATCGAGATGATCGAGCTCGGGCTGGGCGAGGCCCAGGTCATGCTGGCGTTGGCCAGCCACTTGCAGATGATCGAGGCGGAGAAGCAAAAGCTACGCACCCAGGTCAGGAGGCTGTGCCAGGAGAACGCGTGGCTCAGGGACGAGCTGGCAGGCACCCAGCAGAAGCTACAGGCGAGCGAACAGGCGGTACGTCCTTTGGTGGTTTTTCTTCCCTTTTTTATTCCCCCCCCCCCTCCTCGATGGTAATGACGACAATGACTTAAAATTTAAAGGTGGCACAGCTGGAGGAGGAGAAGCGGCACCTGGAGTTCATGGCGAGCATTAGGCAGTACGACGCGGACCCACCGGCGGACGACGAGAATTCAAAGGACCGGCCCAAGGACGACCTCGTGGTCGACCTGTTCCCCGACGACGACGCCGAGGAGCGAAACAGTAAGTGTACGTAGTCGCAACCTTCTCTTTTTCTTCTTTTCCGGGTCCCCCTCTGGTGAATGCAATCTCTCTGTGCATACAAAAATATATAATCACACCACAACTGTATACTAATGTTATTTATATCTGTCTGTCTGTCTTATCACCACGGCCAAAACAATGATGCGCACAGCTCTTTGACCTCTCGATTGTGGGACTGTTTCGTTTGATAAGGTGTACTTTCTGGTTCTCTTCCGTTTAAAAGTAACGTGCTTTTTCGCGTACCGTTTGTAAAACGTGTAAAAAAGGCCCCCTATACAATATTATGTTGCATCGTGACTCGCGTTTTATCCGTAACGCGAAAACATTTGAATTTCCTACGCTTGTTTGTAGTTGATAACTTTCCTATTCAGTAGAAACACAGAGAGTGATGGTCGCCGTGCAATCAGTACAACACGCCCACACGGAGTTGAGTTACATTCACGCAGACACTCGTGGCAACAACATAAAAACACCCACACCAGGGTACATACCCTGGATTAACGAGAGAGCTTTTTTTTTTTTTCAAACTTGCAGCAATGTCTCCGACCCCGCCGTCGCAGTTCGCGCAGCAGGTGAATGCTGGGTACGAGATACCGGCGAGGTTGCGTACTCTGCACAACCTCGTGATCCAGTACGCGAGCCAGGGCCGCTACGAGGTCGCGGTACCTCTGTGCAAGCAGGCCCTCGAGGATCTCGAAAAAACCTCCGGCCATGACCACCCGGACGTTGCGACGATGCTCAACATCCTCGCCCTCGTCTACCGCGACCAGAACAAGTACAAGGAGGCTGCCAATCTGCTCAACGACGCCCTGGCCATTCGCGAGAAGACCCTCGGCGAGAACCATCCGGCTGTCGCTGCCACCCTCAACAACCTCGCCGTGCTCTACGGCAAACGAGGCACGTGTCCTACATTTACGCATACGCTATACTACTAGCTCGCACCGGCCCTCTGAATATCGCTACGATAAGTCGGTAGTATTCTCTCATTGTGTGACTAACGTGCCTGTGTCCAACGTGTCGCAGGTAAATACAAGGAAGCCGAGCCGCTGTGCAAGCGCGCCCTCGAGATCCGGGAGAAGGTCCTGGGCACCGATCACCCGGACGTGGCGAAACAGCTGAACAATCTCGCGCTGCTCTGCCAGAATCAGGGCAAGTACGAGGAGGTCGAGCGCTACTACCAGCGCGCCCTCGAGATTTACGAGGCGAAACTCGGACCCGACGATCCCAACGTCGCCAAGACCAAGAACAATCTCGCCTCCTGTTACCTCAAACAGGGCAAGTACAAGGACGCCGAGGTGCTCTACAAGCAGGTACTCACCAGGGCTCACGAGCGCGAGTTTGGCGCCATCGACGGCGACAACAAGCCCATCTGGCAGGTCAGTTTGTTTCCGCATTGTCTCGTACGTCCTTTTGGGAAAGGTTAACACTTGGGATTCGTGACACAGGTGGCAGAGGAGCGAGAGGAGAACAAACACAGGAACAAAGAGAACGCGCCTTACGGGGAGTACGGTGGCTGGCACAAGGCGGCTAAGGTCGACTCCCCTACCTTCAACACGACACTGAAGAACCTCGGCGCGCTCTACCGAAGACAGGGCAAGTACGAGGCAGCCGAGACGCTCGAGGACTGTGCAATTAGATCGCGGCGAGAGGTAAAGTCCGTCTTACAACCTCATCCATAAATCATCATCATACTCGCTCACGACCCGCTAATTGATTATGCCGATGCTATTTACTTCATTTACATTCCATCAATACCCGTACGACTATCGCTAAGTTTGGATCTCGTGGTCGAGAACATTACACTCATCATTCGCCATTTGTTCAATCATTCTGTGTGTTTTTGTTTTTCACTATATTATTAACAAATTAGACGAGCTATATGTATATATATATATACGTGATTAACGAAAAATGCCTTGGTTTCTTTTCTTGTTTTTTTCCATCGTTCCGAGCAGCTTGTCCAGCAGGTGAGTGACAAGCAGAACGTGAAAGTGCCGAATGCGTGAGCCTCCGTCACGTGATGCGCCTCCTTCTGCCCCCTCTCTCTCTATTATAATATAAACATACTTACACACAATCGTCCATTGCATTTAAACGTTATGTATTTGTTTGTTTTTTTTAACTAATCTCTTCGGACCATGAATTCGATGCCAGTCTTTGGTTCTTTTTTTTATACTGTGAAGAAAAAAAAATATGCGTCGATGAAAAAGGATGTGACGAAAGATCGTCCGAAAAGATTTTTCATTTATTTATTCAACACAAAATATTCATCTTTCATTGTCTCGATGTTGTTCGAGATGTTTATCTTTTTTTTTTAACTCGAACATTAACGTACGCATAAACACGATTTTTGCAAGACTTACGTGTATGTTTAGTTCTAAGGCCTGTGTTAACTAAAGTTGATTGTAAAGAGTGACTATAGGAGTGACTAACATTGCTATGAAATCTCAAAAGCAGTGTCGATACATTAAAATTAAGGAATATATTTGTTACATCGAATTATTATAGAACAGTCAAATATATTGATATAAATAAAGATGATAAAACGAATAAAAGTAATTTAATTATTGAAACAACAACAACAACAACCAAGTTTTTTAAACTTCTTTTTATGGTTAATTTTTCTATTTTTCGTTGATTTACCGATTCACTTTTGTTTTTTCTTTTTCGCTTTACTTTTTTGTGTATTCGTTTTTTTCCCATGTTAAATTTGTTTATTCGATTGAAGAAACGATGAAAAAGATATTCGAAAACTTTTTAAAAGGTAATTGTCATCATATGCTTTTTAACGATAAAAAGTGAGTTTGATTAAGGATTGCACAGACATGTGAAATTTTGTGAATTTATCAATTGATTGTGCTAATGTGGTACTCTTATTTTATTATTTATTTTCTTTCTCTCCAATATATGGCTCGAAAGACTAAGTACAAGATTGTCGAATCATGTACACGAAATGCTTCTTGTAAATGTTATTGAAAAGTTACAAAGTTTGGCTGTCAATATTATTTGTACACATTCATACAGACGTATATTTCTGTCATTTCAGTTATGCCAGCACGCTTCATTCGTTCATTCACATCGCTCATCGTTTTCTTTTATTTTACGTAGAATTGAATATGTAAATATTATATCGTACATACGTGTGTTGCGCATCCACATGAGAATATGTATTCTGCACCAGAATTAAAAAAAAAAATACTCAATTCCACAACAGCGACATACTCTCAGGGTGCAATAACAGTATCAATAGTTCCAAAGCATGTACATGTATATGATATTTTAAAAAAGCATGCCACTCGTTAATTTCACTCGTCTGTGACATCCTTAAACGCAAGTGCCAACCAAACGAGCAACTAAAAAACATTTTCTTCTGCACCTTCTAGGCCCTGGATCTGGTGAAGCAGCCAAAGGTCGCGCAAATCCTTGGCGACGAAAAGGGCTCGAATCGACGGGGCTCACGGACGAGTTTGACCAACAGCGAACACGAGCAACAGCACGAAGAGGTGAGTAAACTAAACTCGCGTCACGTCCTGGCGGGCGTCGTTGCCGGGCGCACGTCCAGGTTCTGTTACTACGTATTAATCGCATTTTTAATAACATACCGGCTGTCTCGACAACCTTTCCCGCACAAGTTACTGTACAGAGCATTGTTTCAGTAATTAAATATTTTTTTTTTTTCATTTTGTTTATTTATTTATTTATTTATTTTATAAATGTTTATACGTTTGATTTGTACATTAGGAGTAACGTTTATCCACGATTATCGTTGTTTTTTCATTAGTTACGTTATACTAGTTGATATTTATACATCATCGTTATTATTATTATTATTATTATTATTATCACTATTATTATTAATTATTATCGCACCGCATGCACGTAGTACGTACAAATATAATTGATACATACATCATTTGAAACACAATACCCACATGAGCATTAATTTTGACAATTAGTCGTCATAAAACAAAAAAAAGAAATTAATTTATAAATGAAACCAGGCAAAAGTGAGATCTTCTACTATCCTTTGTTTTCTTCTTTTTTCTTGTTTTCGTTTCCTCGTATGCATTGCGGGCCTCCCGACACCAACCGACCCAACACCCACACGCACGATCGAACGAACGAATGCACAAACGATTGATCCAATTCAAATAAACGATATAAAATCGAATCCAATGCGAACGTAAAAATGTAAAAAAAAAAAACAAACAAACAAAAAAACCACTACAACGACAAAAGGGTCTCACACCGCTGGTGCAGCGGACGCTGATGCTCGACGGACATGGCAGCCAGAACGACGTTAGCCCTAACAGGCCGGGCTTCAAAAACAAGATCTTCCACGTTCTCGGGAATCTTGGCATTCATCCGTCGTCGTCGTCGTCGACGTAGGGGGAAGCAGAGGCGAAAAAGAGAAACCTGGGATTGTTATTTTATCCACCGATCGATTATCGGTACCTTACCGATTTTAACTTTTTTTTTTTTTTTTTTTTTTTCTAGAAATTATTACTATTCAATGGTAAATTTTAGTTTTATCAGTTGAGTGGTGTGTGGCTGTACTGAGCCACGCAGTATTTCGAAAATTTTTGGTTTCACGGAGCGAGGAAACTTTGTTTGTGATTCTAGACGTGCACGGTCGAGTGCAGAATTTTTTATATTTTTTTCTTCAACGCAACAACAAAGAAAACTATTAGATTATACATTTAAAACGTGAAAATTTTAATTACTTCAATGATCAAGTTTTTCATTGATTTCTCGCTCCGTTTGAAAATCATCGCGATTGTTGCAAACGAGCAAATGCGAGTCTCGGACCAAGAATAAAATAGTTGTGCTCTAGCTTGGGAGCCTTGTAATGTTTAACGTACCAATGGTTCAAATTTTTGCCATCGCAAAGTGCATGAATATTCTCCATATTTTGTCTTACGAAAAATTAAAAGATCATTGTTGTAAAATGATCTCAGAGTTTGTTTTGAGGAAAAAAAAAAAAAAACCCTGCACGAGAGAATTCGTGCGAGTAGACGATAATGTTGCATTTTGACGCGAGCTTTGAAGTACAAACGGCTTGATTGAAAAAAAAAAAAAAAAAAAAAAATTCATCATTTATTTTCTCGGTGATACCGCTATGTTTCGCACAGTAGGCAGATAAAAAGGCATTTAAACTACTTAAGATTTCCCCGCGATTAGAAAAATATTTTTCAAGTGCATACACGTTTCTGAAATTACGATTTCATATTTTTGTATGATAAAGTACATGTACATTTCTTCTTTCTATTTTTGACTGACGTATAACCAAGAGAAAATTTAAAGTTCCGATTGAACGCTTGGTGCATTGAATGCATTGTACACGCGTACGAGTTCCGAGATCGAAGTCTTCCGATCCAACAATATATTGTTCGATTTCCTTACCGGAAAACGATATGTGATGATTACGTTTCTAAGAGTGTTTTAATTAAGAAGTTTATAAATTTAAAATTTCGTTACTGATTAACTGTATAGATATCATACACGTATAAATAGTACGCCTACATATCTTTTTCTTTGTTGTCAGTATGTTTTAACTACTTATGCACATGAACATTTATGTGTTGTCGAGAGCTACAGAGTGTCTCTTACTATATAATACCACTGCATTTACGTTTATGCTTTTATGAAGAAAAAAAATACGTTGACTTGTTGAGACGTTAATTTTTTTTTTTTTTTTTTTAATTGCATGAGTTAGTATAAATTAAATTTTTATAATAGAGTTGTATTTTATGGTTCGAAATGAAGTTTTAATTGTTAACTTTAGGATACGACGTTTGAGGTGCTCTGTAGTATTTCTACCATATATTGTGTGATTAACTTTCGTTTGTCCGAGAAAATTATTTCCTTTTATTTTCATTCAATAGTTTATTACTACGTTACTTCTATATATGCGCTGGTAATAATTAAACTTTGAAGATAAAAAAAAACTGCGAGCTCGTCCTTGGCAAAGGACTCCTTGCTGTTTGCTTTTTAATTGATTGACTTAAGCATCGCAACAAATAAAAAGTGAAAAACAGATTAGTGCCTTAACGCTAACGATAAATTAATGAACGAGTTGCAGATAAATAAATAAGCTGTAGCAACTTTTTTTTTATGAAAAAAAAAAAAAAAAAAGAATTAGTGCATGCGACAAACGGCTTTAGCAGTGTAATTGTAAATATATTGTAAGTTGTGCGTGACATGTAACTTGATAAACGAGAAAAAGAAAAGATTTTTGTATGAAGAGTCACATTATGATAAATAAGCCGCATAATATAGATAGTGAAAATTTGTAAAACTTGTATTTGTTATGATTAAATATACGTCTGTACATTAAAAAAAAAAAAAAAAATTATCTTTTCTGCGTGTTTGATTCAGAGTTAACTACACTGAGGGAACATTTTAAAATTTTCTTATTTATAGTAAAATAGGTTGTTGTTTTTTTTATCAATATTTTTTAGAAACTGGTAGGTATATGGAAATTAAAATTTCTCAAATGAAAATAAATTTTAGCGTAAATTTTAATTTTTAAGAGATTATTTCAGTGTAGCCTACTCTTGACACAATTAGTTCAATCGAATAGTAAGACACAATAAATGGGACAAATTTCCCCCTTTTTTTTTGCTTTTCAAGAAGGATTTTATAATTTACCCTTTAAAAAATTTTGTCTTCTCAGCACGCATCTTTGTTTGTTGTAAATATTTAATCACCCTGGATGTATGCGTTGTCATTGTCTGTTGTCGTTTTTGTGATATCAAAATATTTTTGTTGTCTTTTATTAAGAAACATAAAAGTAGATTGGTACTTAGAGATCCAAATGAGAATATTTTTTCACTTACAAATCAAATTTAAAGATAAAATAATAGATTTGTGGAAACGATTGGTTCGACCGAAGAGCAAAGCAGTGAGTCTGGGCTGATTAAAAGGTGCGTACACTGTAGATTTCCTATTTTTTTTTTTTTTTATTTGTAAGCATTAGGCTTTACATTGTATGTCCCAATTTATTGACAATGCATCAACTACACTGAAATATTCTCTTTTAAATTATAAAAAAAATTAATAGGATACATAAAAATTGTCTATCGTTGTGTAATACGTGCAAAAACATAAGAATTGGAAAAAATTTATTGATTTCGTGTAATAGTTGATACATCGTCAATAATCAGGATGCTTGTTTAATAGAATGTATTTATTTTGTGAATGTAGTATGCGCAATTGAAAAAAAAAAATGCATATTAGAAAAAATTGATAAAAGGAATAAAATAAACAGGAAGCTTTTGTGAGAGTTGTAAAAATTGTCACTGCATCTGTAATTCTCTGTCCTACTAATATTATCCATGTGTTTGATTACTTAATATTGTATTGATTATTTCTTACTCTATTCTCAACGTGTTGTCATTGTTAACGATAAAATCTATCATACAAATTTTTAATTTAATATCTCTTTGCCACCATAATTTTCTTCCAATTAATCAATTAGTTTATTGCTGCTTTAATTTCGTGTTTTTGAAAGTAAATTAATGAATCACTCAGCAGTTTGAAAAATTGTTAAAAATTGTTTTAATTTTCACACTAATTTATATTCGAGTTAGTCTTTAATATCGTAATGGATCAAAAACACGAGATGCCAAGTGTTTACAAATCAAAGCTAAACTTTTAAACGAAAAACTTTGCATTTTCTGTTGCAGGACCGCAAGCACATGGTTCGCGCCCAATAAAAGAAAAATATCAATGGCCAATCGAGTGTCTTTTCTGCGGGAAACTGTTCACACGGGGATTTTACATCTTCGCAACAAGAGGATTTATCTAAAACAACAACAAAAAAACCATGGACTTCGCGACGTTTAGACGAATAACTCCTGGAGCACAAAGTGACAGCTACGTTCGAGAGCTTTTAACACACTTACAGACAACAACCAATACACACTTACACGCAAACGCGCACACGTAAAAAAACACACACACGTGGCACATTCCAGTGGATTAAAAAAAAAGATGTATTATTAAAACGATGATAATCGTCGAAACGCGGCAGCTTAGAGTAACAAAGCCAAGAAATCTTGTAAGTTGAATTTTAAAACCGCTCTGACGTGGATATTGCAAAAAAAAACACTTTTGTCGTGTGACTTCAAAAGTTAACGATTGCAGTGTGTATGAAAAAAAAAAAAAAAAAAAAAAATTATTTTTGTGCGTGAGAGAGACTAATGAAATACGTGTGCTTGAAAATGTCAGTATTTAGACTTAAATTATTTCCTATTTTTTTTTTTTTTTTTTTACATTATGACTGTTTGGATTAAGTAGCTCAATAGAATCATACGTTTATGATATCGAGCGTAATATTAAACCGAAGTATTTTTATGTATTAGTATTTGTATTGGAAAAAAAAAAAAAAAAAATGAGAATTATTTTAGAACTTTTATTACGATTATTAGCTTATAACACGTAACTTTTTATTTAGTTCCAATAACGTTTCTCTAAACTACAATAAAGTATTTTAAAGCATTACTTATTATTAACATCCAAATTAGACAATTTACAATTTATGTTCACCTCAAATTCTGTTCTGAACAAAAATTTCGCCTTTTGGGAATACATGGGCCTAGGAATTCCCTCCTTTTGCTTGAATCGATCGAGAGTTTGCATTGTTGATAGGAAAATTTTATTTATGTAATTATTAAAACTTAACTTGTGCGATGTTTTGTACATAAGAGAAAAAAGAAAAGAAAAACTTATTTATAAAGAAAAAAAAAAAACTAGAATTATTACGCGATTTTCAAATTCCACATGTTTAATCGAACGATGCACGTTTGGATTACTGAATCTCGTAGAAGCTATATTTAATTTAATTTTTCGTCAATACATCTCTTTAGGCAACTGCTTGTATGATGCTTAATTTTGTCGATGAAAACAATTTCGAACAAGATTCGATGATGATTGTTTTATTTAAAGTTTCTGCCAATACGTATAAAATATGTATTATTCTGAAGATAAAAATAAATACTTTAATGTTTCGTGTGATGATAAAATTTTTTTTAAACTACCGTTGTCGTATCTATACATCGCATCTATAAAGTTAAAAAATTACAAATTTTTGCGTAGTTTACATCGCAAATGCATTTTACAACTTACGTTACTGTCGAATAACTAATAGCGAATAATTTTCTGAACCTTTGAAAATAAGGCGAGATACTGTGCATAAAACATTACATTCATGACAAACAAAATAATGCTGTACGTTTTTTATTGTCACGAGCCACAAAAATTCTGTGAATACGTGACATTGGCAGGTACTGCGAAAGTACGTACGTGCCCAAGGGGGCACGAAAAAGTTGACGACCAAAATAAAAATGAAAAAGTCCAATGACGGAAAGCTGATGTATGTATACGTGACAACCTATACGCAATTGTACGGTGAAATGACTTAACGTGTAAGCTTTGATTTATAATAAACATTTTAACTTGTAATAAAAAAAATGCGTCTTGTATACTCTCAACCATCCCAGCACATACCCCATTCACATCGAACGAAAGAAAATCACCAGCTCAGCTGTGAAAACGAAAGGAGAAAAAAAAACTAATATGCACACGATCATCAAAAGAAAGCTTCATTCTCGTGTCAGTGAACACCGCAAGCGCTTCGGTACAGCTATTTATATGTGGACGAAGGACAAGTTTCTATTAAAGGGACCTTTTTTCCGCTTCCGTGGCTACACGTGTGAAATAATGTTCAACTCGTGCTGGCGTACGAGAGAAAAAACTATAGACACCCAACAACGCAAGTTCCTCCCGGTGCAACACAGGCGAACGATTCGACGAGATAAATCTCGATTCCGGCTGACACGCCGTAAAGCACACGAGCGGGGGTGGGGGCTCCGAAAAGAGCCTGCGATCCAAAAATACGTACCTATGCATCCGCACAAAGGCCGCGTCAAAAGTTATGGCGCGAGGGGCAAAAAGGTGCATGCGCGTGCAACGAGCCAACTCGTGCCGATGAGGGAAAGAAAGGGGGAAAGGAAAGGTCGACGAGTTTTCTCGGGATAAGAGCCACTGCCGCCGTTGATGCATATACATAAAATCCACCATGCGTTTGGCTGCGCGGTAGTCGGTCACCGGGCGAGTGCGCGCTGCTGTACACTTTATACGTGTTATCGCGCTGTTTCGCGAAAATTTCGTGGTTCTATCGCTTTTTCCTCCTCGGTAGTGACGTGTAGTGGTGAAAAGGTTGAAAATCGAAAATCGCATCAGAGGAGAGAGGAGAAATCGGCCCTCTTGAGCGTCCAATAGATTTCTTATCTAATCGATCGATCCATAACATTGTTTCAAGCAATGAGGTACACCGAGCGCGAGTTCACCACCGGCACGTCGATCACAGAGTTCACGACGGTCCTGCTGCGATCCATCACGAATAATCGTGGCGCGACGACCATCAGGTATAGGTTTAACGGCCGTTTACCGCAAAACATTCCCTCCATGGCCCTACCAAAAAAAGGCACCCATTCGACTTTGCGATCCATTAAGTTATGGGTGTGCGGGGGAGGGAGAAAAAAGACCCCAAATGGCCCCTTTCACGCTCGAGCGGCATTCCTGCGGCTCGTTTTTTCGTCGCTGACACCTCATTAGGCGCCCGAGCGGAGGGAGAGAAGCCGCGACAAAACGCCTCGCGCTAAAATTGTACGGACAGCTCAGACTCCCCCCCCCCCTGTGGGGGAAACAAAGAGCGTACAGGCGCCCTCGACGCAAAAGTAAATGGGTATAGTGCAGCAGCGGTTTCCTTTCTTCGGTCTTCGTTTGTTCGGAAAATACAAGTGCCATTGTGTCGCCTCCGGTTGAGCGATTGTTTCGGGGATTCGTTTTGAAATGCAAAATATGATGGAATCGATTCAAGGACCCTCATTGTTTCGCGGAAAGGGGTGCCCCCTTGGGGGATGGGGTTTATTTGGATATTAATTTTTCTCGCTCCGGCGCTTTGTCGCGCCTCTGAGGGGCTTAGGCGAGCTTTGAGTTTATTTTAATCGGTATGTGAATAACTTATTGGCTGTTACAGCGCGAGTTCAATGAGCGTCGAGTCCTTGCGCTCCGGTCAGGATTTATTTACAAAAATGAGCCAACGCGTTTTGCACCGTTGGCTGCGCGTCCGGTTTCAAGAGCACGTGCCATTAGTACTGTGATTGCGGAGATATCAATGGCAGGATTGGTCCGAGTTTTTTGTCGTCAGAGAGTTGCTGGGAATAGGTGTTTTGATTTATTTTTTTCAGTATTTACAATGTTGTTGTAAGAACATTAATAGTTGGAAGATTATCATGGTTTTCATAATTATTGGTACTTGCTGGTACCTTAATTTTGTATTGCTGTACATGGATTTTTGGCGAAAAAGAAATTTTATCTCAATTCATACTTTATTTAACTATATATTATAAGAACAAATCACGAGATAAATTGTCTTTTACTTCTTAGATGGTTAAAAATTCGTGTGGCAAGTACTATTTTCATGGAAAATCGAAATAAGTTCCCTACTTTTTGTTACTTGAAGAATGAGATGGTACTTTTTTCCGCTTCGTCGTTTATACATAATTACGCGGCTGACGATGACACGAATCCAAATATTACACAGCAGGTGTGTTCAAGCAGGCATGGATTAAACGCTTGTTATTTATAAGTGCACCATAATTTTCACAGTAGAGTGAATTTACATAGGTCCCTTGAGATTATCGGTTCAACATTAAATATTTATCATACATTGATTTGGTTCAGAAATGATCGAATTTTTTCATGTCTTAATCCTTTATTTTTTTACCCTTCACATGTTAGAGTATCAGAAATTATTTAAAAACGATCGGTGGATCTAGTACGGCAGGAAGTACAGCTGAAAAATCACATGAAAGTTATGAAAATTCAACATTAACATCAATCAAACATTTCATACTTACGGATGAATCCATTTTGAAACAACACTCGGCGTATGCAATTGCGTATTCGCATTGATCGTGGCCTTTGGGCACTGTAAAGCAATGAAAATATGCAGTAATATCGTAGTATGAGGATAAAAAGAAAGTAAAATTTTTTTTTTTTTTTTCAAGTTGTACTTGTGCATTTCGTACCTTCTTCGTAACATGCCACTCCTACTTTTCGTAGCAGTGGCTCAATAGACTCGTCCACCAATGTTGCAGCATATCTCTCGATATCATCCAGTCGAGGATTACCATGCTTATCCATCTTTGGAAAAAAAAAAAGGTATAAAATTTTGAAACACCTCGTGAAATAATTCTAGTGAGAGAACATTACACCATGAACGAAAATTAGCTGTCTGCGATCATTCACAAATTGAGTTTTTCTAGTTTTAATAGGTACCAGGATTAATTAGCATGTGCGAGTGAATGGAAACGCAATAATAAGAAAAGGTTTGGCTCAACTGAATTTAAGGCTAAGGTGTAGTTTTGAGACTTACTCAGGAGGAGCACATGAAAATTTTCATAATACTTAAAATTTAAATAAAATAAAGTCTAATGCCTTCAAGAAAATAAAAAATAAATAAACAGTAATATAAATTNAAAACAAAAAAAAAAAATGCCTGAACGTAAAGATTACTAGATAATAAAATACTAAAAAAAGTAAAAGTGTATTTAATATACGAGTTTAGGTAGGTACATTATTTGGTGATAGTAACTAGGAAAATAAATTATATTAATGTGGGTTTCCTATGCTTTTCAAAGACTCAAAAGTTCTATTGTAAAAAAATTAAGCAATATATCTGTGTGAAGTTTCGACCAGATGTATGTGACCATAAAAATGATTTATTGAAATTTTTGAATAATTCGATACATTCTAGAAAAACATTTTTTTTATTTACAATAAATTTACATCAGTATACACAATACATTACATTGGTTTCAAAATTTAATCACGTAATGAAACGTACCAAAAAATCGACCATAAAGTAATATTACCTTAAGGAATCAAAATAAGAATAATTATTTTGACTTATGCAGAAAGCCACACTGTTACATACAAGTAAAATTTATTCATTATAATTAAAAAAAAATTTTTTAACGTTTTCTTACGTACTGGCTAAGAAAACGTTTATACACGTTACATAAATTTGATATTTCTTCTGAAAATTGAAATTTTTCTGTACACCGTGATGTTAAATCTTCTCCCATAAAACGTACCTGTTACATATATGAGATACTTAATCGTAATATCGAGAACGTACGCAAAAAAAACAATTAATTTTTAAGGACATGTCAACTTAATAAATTGTATAACTGCTCATTGGTTTTAATTAATTTTAAAACAAATGAATTGGGTAAAACATTTAATACACAAAAATAAAATTGCATCTTCTATTCTAGATTTTAATTTTTAAGTCATGAAATACATCGCCATGCTAAATATATCCTAAACAATCACCATTTAAAATACTTAAATAGTATAAAGAAAATTAAAAATCAAAAAAACCCCAAGAAAAGAATTCTCAAACGATGTCTAGTAAGTAAAACCATACGCTCAGTCACCGAAGTTCAACGAAAAATTTGTACTCACGGTTTTCACCATAATCGATATACATCTAAAGAAGCACATCAGATTTCGATCTCTTGGGAACTCTCCATCATGAGTTTTTGAGACCAATTCTACAGTAATGCAAAATAAAAATGCTCACGTCTCATATCTTTAAAAAAATTATGGAACACAATTCACTCACCATCGGAAGCTCCAGTTTTGCGCTTGCAAGAGCCGCTCACGGGCTTCAGCATGTTTCTGAGACCTTCAATGTCCAGTTTTTGCTGAAATTCAATTCAAACGAAGTACATATTAATTGTTAAAAAAAAAATAGTCTCTGCTGAGCTTGAATACCAATAAATTAAAATTTAAAAAAATCCATACTCCTGCAGATTTGACTGATCTGTAGTACATTGCGGTAAGAGCAACCGTCGCCAAAAAAATGTAAATTCTCATTTTTCCTTTGAGATCAAATTAAAAAAAAAACAAAAACCAAAATCTGTCTTTCACAACTCCGTCTCCTTTAAAACGTCCGGTCAAAACTTACCAGAACCCAAACTTTTATACTCGATGTATGCCCAAAATGATATCGGCAAGTCAGCCAACAATTTTCACGCGCGAGGTGACACCAAGAAAAAAAAATACAGACTTGGCGCATCCAAAGTGTAGGTGTTCAAACGTGATTATTGCTGATGTCGTTTCTTAGAAGCTTAGAATTCTTCTGTAAGCCGCTTCGAAAACGTAACACATGTAGGTATTCAACGAATTGTTATAAAATTCGAGAGAACTCAGTGCCGAGGCTCTTCGAATTGGCTCCAAGATTCGTGAATTACTAAAAACCGAAGTCATGTAAAAATTAACTGATTTACGTTTAATTACATTCTATTGACATAATTACCCCTTTGTACCTGTCAATAGTAGCAGATAATTCATCAGAAGAATAAACCAACATATTTAACATTATCCCTTGTAATTAATCCAGTAAAGAAAAATTCAACTTAAACCATGAAAACTGATTAATGATGAACACAATAATAGTAGACACAAATAGACAAAAGGACTATATAAATTATTTAAAATGGACAAATTCAGGGAATCACAAACAAAGATAGAGAGATAAACATTTTCAAGGTGAAGATGAAAAAACATAAAAAGAGCTACAAAACTGATAACATAACAATATTTATACAAATATTATTTTCCGATATTGTGTAATTGCTTCGTGTGAGGCTAGTTGCAAGTAACAGCCCTCCGTTCTCCGTCTGAAGGCGTGTGCTCCGTAAGAAACATGTAAAGACATATAAACAAAATAAAAATACCAATACGTATTATAGGTATCAGTCACTAAGAGATGAATACCGAGACATTTTAAGACTCATTATAGAAAAGTTTAGTATTTTGTAAAAAAAATATATATACATACATGTATGAAGCAGCTATACCAAGGCAAAAACATAGACTTAAAGTTATAGAGAAAATAATAAAGAGACAAAAAATAAAGATTTAAAATACAAGGGATACAGAGACAGAAATAAACAAAAAGAAAACGCTAAAAAGTATACAGATTGATGAAAAAAAAAAAAAGTTTACCTATACGAAGACAGACACAGTGATATTTTCAGAGATATCCTGTCTGATTTGGTAAATAAAAAAAATTAATTTGTAAATAAACAAATATCAAGTATAATAAATACAGATATTTATGTGTATATTTATGTATACAAATTTAATAATACGAGAATCAATGGAAAAAATAACAAAGATAATAAGTATAAAAACAAAGTCAAAAAACTACAAACAAAAGACATGTGTAGATGCACATAGACACTTACACTTACTTTTGTGTATACTGATACACCTAACTAGAGTTACAGCGATAAAGAAGTGAAAAC